AGTTGGTTTACCTGAGGCAATATAAATATCCAATTTTAGTGACGATTTAATGTTTAAAATTCCACAAAATGTTTTCCATGTCTGGCCGGCTTGAATTCGAATCATAAAAGCCCAGAAAAAGACAATTCACTTAAATCGTGCTTATTTACTTAAATCAAGCTTAATAAGCCTCACTTTGGATTTTGAAACAAACCCAGACAACTGCCCTTTCTAAAAAGTTTGTAACATAACATTAAAAATGAAACTGGGCCTACAACATTCACATTAAAGTCTTATTATGAACAAAATATATATGTTGACATTAATCCTGTAAATAATATTACATTAAAATCACAAGAGAAGGTTAGTAAAAATAAATATAAATATAAATATAGAGTAAAATGATTAAACTCTAACCATACTTTAAGAGTATAGCCAAAGTAGAAATACTGACTACCCTTTTACAGAATTTAAATTATTTTATAACTCTTTAAATATTGAGTAACTAAAAGCACAATTGATAAAGTGAAGAGCAAAAAGTTGAACAAAGTGACAATCCTTCAAGGCAATTCCATTACCATGCTCAAAGTAATCTGAAGGATCGTCACAGAACTATGGACAAAGGTGCTTTAAGCTGAGCACTTAAAATGTAACGTAACGTTAAACCTCAACATGTCAATGTTGTCTCAATGCTGCTTAATTTATTTGTTCAACACATTATGTATAGCAGAATTGAGATGAGTTGAGATTTGGGCAATTCATGTATGTTATCTCATCAGAATTACATATTAAATGGGTGCCTCAATATTCAAGTTATATTTGATTAGATTGGATCTAGGATGAAAAAAAGAACTCGATATATACACAGATTTGTGTCAAACATATTCATTTCGACCCGTATATCATATTTATCTCGACCGAACTTGATAAAGTACTAAAACTCCTTTTACGGAACGCCCCTACCTCGACTTTAATATCCAATCCAATTATTAATATTGGATGGAGGAGGGATAGGATGGAGGGGGAATTATATGTCTTTACGATGGAACAATTAAGTTTACAAGAACTCGTGTATTTGAAAAAACTAAACTCAGTACCCCAGTAAGAAACTGGATATTATATCTCTGGAGAATGAGAAATGGGAAAATTTGGAGTCATAAGAATAAATTCAATAGCATGTCTTATCATGTCTTATATACACGTTATCCCCCCTCCATCCAATATTAATTTATTTCGGTTATTTTTTGTATAACGCATGGAAACTAACTTTAAAAAGTGAGCAGTGTCATTAGCATTGTGATACTAACGTCCCTTATGTCTATTTATTACAGGTCGTGTGTAGACCATTGTTGCCCGATTTATAGCAAAAACATTGATTTTTGTACGTTAGTGATGATGCGCCTTTTTTAATAGATCTCCTATATCTTAGAAACGTATCAGTTAAAAAATACTAGATAGTCAACATATTTTGCAATGCACCTCGCCTATTCACTGGCAATTCAGTTGTAATTTCTCTTGAAAAAATAAATCTTCCAAAGGAGTTGGGTAAACAAGGCCATTTTAAGCCCCACCTGATTTTCAAGTTTTCTCTTTATTTTATTAATCTATGTGTTTCAAAAATGTATGAAAATTTAGGTCAAGGTCATATTCCCCAGGTCAAGGTCAAATTAAAAAAAAATCATTATTTTCTACCAAAATATACCTTTTTGGTTAAAACATCACAAATATCTGTAGGAATTTAGTCTCATAGAGGTTGGAATTACAATATATAGTAAATTGGCAATTTGCCAATAATGAGATATTTATATTAATATATTCCGCCCTTCCCACGCAACACTGAAAGAGAACAAAAGTACCTAAAATAATGAAAATACTTTATTATTTTTAATTCATTTAAATTCAGAATGTACATTTCATGATTTGACTCGTAAAGTAAAGTTTATTTTTTATGAGAAATATGTCCTGCTTCCTGTTAGCGACATATAGGGTATGCTAAAAACCACACACTAAACACACACACTGTATATATTATAATTCAACATAATGATATTATTCAACATAATTTTAAAGCAACTATTAAGTTTATTATCAATCATTCTGATAATGTCTAGGAAACAGTAAGTACAGATAACGGAGATAATCACTTCTTGGAGATCACCTAAAAGGTGAAAAACATCTAAAATCTCAACACATTTCATCATTGGCTTGTTAATGAAATAACAAAGAAACATTTTCTGATTAGTTTTACTCATCATCACTTGAACTACCTGATTCAGATGTTGTGCACATATAACCACTTTATGTTTCAGGTATTTTAGCATCTAAAATTTTATAATGGCCTTGCTTCCTACATATGCAGCATGAATAGCATTTGACCATTTAGAATAATCAACAAAAATGGCAGGCAAAATTTTCTATAAAGTTCTAAAATTCACATCGAGCATAATAAGTCTCCATCAAAATTATTCTTTGTATGCAACAATATAACATTTATGTAACTAAAGAAGCACTTATTAGAGTGGAGACTTGTTATGCTCTATGTGAAAACACTCAAAGGATTACTACCTCCAGTGAATAAAAATGTCACCCAGACTCAGCATGAAATGTCCTTTCAAAACTTTACTTACCTCTAAACTGTACATATTGTTTAAATCAATTGTATGTATGGATCAAATAAATATATATTTACATAATCCTGGACAGATAAATCAAAAACATTCATTTATAGCTGAGTAAATTGGAATTCATCAAGAGGGTTGCAAAATATGTGAATTTTTTTCCTTCTGGCCCCCACCCTCTTTGAAGGTCTCCAGACACCGTAACAATTTTTTCTAATTTTTTTTAAAAATACTACCCAAAAATATAGACTTCAATCTATGCATTTCTGATGTCTTTTTCTCCTATTCTTAAAAAATGTTTTTTCACACTTCAATTGGGGCACTCTCTGTTGCTAGTTTACCCAACTCCGTTGAGTTTTCTTGCAGAAATCGCCTAATCCCCCCTCCGTCGAATTTGTACGATCACCGGGCGTGTTTATTAGCGTCATGAATCCCTGAATAATGAATCGGATCCAAGCACATCATTAATGGTCGAAAATCAAAATCGACAAATTTATTACCTAAAAGGCCGAAAGATTATGCGGCAAATACTGAAGCGGAGGTTGTCAACATATTGTATTAGCTTTGATTTCCTAGAATCCGTTGAATCCTTAAGCGATTGGAGTTGTTTTGATCACTAAAAAAGATAACATTGGATTTATTCTGCTGGTGATATCATCTTTAGGCTATATTGGCACAAAAGCTATGGTTGGCACTAAAGCTATGGCATTTTTTCCCGATGGCATATTTTTCCGATGGCATCTTCAATGACCATTTCAGACCTTACTAGAGTCCATTTCACTGCTTCATTTCGTCAGTAGAACGGCAAAAATAAGAAATTGGGAGACCATTGTGCAATAATATATGGAAAAGTATATTCATAATGTACATGAATGACATTTGTATATTTCCGATTTTTTAGTTTTTTGTGCAATAAGCCTGTGCCGTCTTGTAATTTGAAGAATTTCAGCCATGTTAATCTTATTGAAAATAACATGGCAAAGAAACATCCAAATATAAGAGGCCACACACTTAATAAGCCAAACTAGAAGCAATCCAAGATATACAAATGTCATTCATGTACATTATGAATATACTTTTCCATATATTATTGCACAATGGTCTCCCAATTTCTTATTTTTGCCGTTCTACTGACGAAATGAAGCAGTGAAATGGACTTTAGTGCTACTTATTTGAGAGTCATTTTAAAAATATGACTTTATTTCTTTTGTACGCATTACACTAAGAGGCGTTTTATAGTCTTGCTTTGAACCGGTGTTCCTCTGTATCTATTCCAGAGCCATCCAGATTCAGAAGTAGTTGTTTTGCTCTTCTGCTATCTTATTATCTATTTAAGTACCCTTTACTTCGCGAAAAAACAAAGAGAGGTACCGTAATTCCAATTACTGATGTGAATATATCCAATGCTTCCCACACCGAACACGATTTACAGAGAGAACCTGTATACACCCAACGCTGTGGGACGATGCAATAAAAACATGCGATTTTAGAGAAAACAACCCCGATCTGACATGTAGAAACAGAGCAGTCGTGTGGTTGTAAGTTTGTATTCGCATTGCTAATGTCGCCTCTGTTCTCAATCATGGTTTGGAAAATACAATGTATGTTTGAATTTGTAAAAATGATTTGTTGTTTTGACAAATAGTCCTGGTTAAACCCATGCCGTGACCAGCAACAATGAAAGACGGGAATCGTTGTATTGATGTAGACATGATCTGTTGTTTTAGCAGCCCTGGTAAAACCCCATGTAGTGAGCTGCGACACAGGAGCTGTGACAACTAGAGAGTGAATAATGTTGTATTGATGGAAAGATTTATCAAAAATAGGTTAGAACATGTAAATCCTCCTGGACGTTCGCATTTCCATTTTTTGTTTAAACTCGTGCAGACTGCTCAAATCGGGAATTTAACCTGGGCAGGGAATTCTCACAGTGTAACATGCTTTTTCCGACGAATTTTAGATTTCAGTAGTGTCAAATGTCTATGTAGCTATACCTTCTCTTCAGAGAAACAAATCCGTGATATATACACGGGGATATAAAGTCTGTTAAAATAGTATACGTAATCCAATGAGCTTGTATAACTTTTCTCTTTAGGTCCGATGGGATACGTGCTATTGAGTGACAACCCAAGAATGAACATGTGTCCAGATAAACATGTGTCCAGATGGACGGGAGTTCTTACTTGAAGACTGCTGCTGTGAACAACTCAACTAGATGATGTAGAGAGAAATAAAATATATTGCAGATCTTTAGTTTATCCTCACTTATTGTCCCATTTGTTTGTTTGTAAATATTGCCCTAATTAATATGACTTAAAATCACCCGATTAATTGTGCAATAAGATGCAATATCACTCAAACAGGTTACTTTAGCATTGTAAGTTATTCAATAAAAAGAAACACTGGAAGCTTACTTTTGATTCAATTGTATTTTTATTTAAATATGGAACTCAATCATTTCCATATTTGGACTTATCAAAAGCCATTGGTTAATAAAAGTTAAAAAGATGCCAGATCATTTGAATTCTCTTGTCCCATGCACATATCAAGTCTTGGCTCCTTTAGAATATGGTTTAGTCCGTGATTTTTTATCCTTTACTTTCATAGAGTCCTGGAAATAAAAATTAGCAAACTCAGAATGACATTTACTTCAATTATTGTGCTAATTTAAAGAAAAGAAATCATCATAAATACTGGATGAGTCAAATAACTAGGCCCTAAACCAAAATCCAAAGAAATTCCAAATATTTGTTGACTTTGACCCTTATGACCTTCTAAGAGCAGAGCTTGCATACTATATATTGCACTACCCCATTGATGTAATACTGTGATGTATACATGCACTTGTACTGAATTATCTAAATATTATAAACCTTGCTATGTGATGTGACAGGTTCTCTGCCATTATTGTTTGGAGTCCACAAGCACAACATTCCATCCTCACCACCAGTAACCAAACTGCATCCCTAAAATCAGATAATCACAAAAATGAGTATATTGATTAATTGTAAATTTAAATATACCAAGTATGCTCAAAGGCTAGGAAAAATGTTTTACATATACTTAACTTGCATGTCTGACTTGTATGTAATACAAATACTAAATACACTAAATTGCAAGCATGCTTTCACAAGAACAGTTGATGGCAAAATACTTACAGATGAACTGTATGACAATGAGCGCACAGTATCTGTGTGACCCTTGCACAAAGAGCCCACTGTGCTACATTTGGTTGATTTAGCATCTCCTAAAGACAGAACTTGCATGTCGCCACTGGAAGGAGTACATGTAATTAATGAATATATATGATAAACTTCTAAACCTACACTTGTGCTCCTTATGTAATAGAATGCAACTTTAAGTTATTACTAATGCACTGTTATTGAATAGGATTATATATGTGTAACCTTACAAAATTATTGATTCGCATGATAAGTTTTTTTGTACCTTGCTTAAAAGTAAACCAGATTGGTTTATGATTTACCACATCCATAAAGGATGATTTGTGTCATATGTTACAGGAGCAATGGAAATATTTTGTCCTAATGTTTTATTATCATAAATCTTCACAAATGGTCTTTTAGCAAAATCCAAAGAATTGAAGGGCTCCATGAAAGTGATTAAAGTGTGCCATATATTTCATTCACATGGATATGATTAAAGTGTGCCATATATTTTACTCACATGGATGTGATTGAAGTGTGCCATATATTTTACTAATGTGGATGTGATTAAAGTGTGCCATATATTTTACTCACATGGATGTGATTGAAGTGTGCCATATATTTTACTCACATGGATGTGATTAAAGTGTGCCATATATTTTACTCACATGGATGTGATTGAAGTGTTTCATATATTTTATTCACATGAATATCATTAAAGTGTCCCATATATTTTATTCACATGGATATGATTAAAGTGCCCCATATATCTTATTCACATGGATGTGATTAAAGTGTGCCATATATTTTATTCACATGGATATGATTAAAGTGTCCCATATATTTTACTCGCATGGATGTGATTAAAGTGTGCCATATGTTTTACTCACATGGATATGATTAAAGTGTTCCATATATTTTACTCACATAGATGTGATTAAAGTGTGCCAACTATTTTACTTACTTATGCGAACCAGCCAAAAGGAAGAAGTTACTGCTTCCATCTTCAAAACAGTCAACCAAATAATCCAACTCCTGTAAAGTGAAGCTTAAATTTTACAACGTTGAAAGTTTCTGCATAAATTACAAACTTGCTTGCTAAACCTATTCTAAAAACAAAAACACTGCAAAACAAATTTCAAGATATTACTTCCTAAAACATGTTTATTTGCAAGACTGGAAACAGATAATTCATGGAAGTTATCCTCACCTTGAAATTCTCCTTGAGATTTTTGTGTTCTGCTAAGAGGTCTCCCTCGCTGTCCCATATATGGAATGTCTCCAAGTGTGTTATACAATATAAGTTGTCACCCCCAGGACCCTTCCAACCAAGCTTCCCCTGGATAACATAGATCAGACTTGAAGGATTTGCAAGTGATGAACATGTACTTTGTTTAAAAATAATCGACTATGAGAAGTTAGATTGACATTTTTGAGAAAATACTTTACTTTTGTACTTACAACAGATGATTCAGTATTTAATGTCATTTCTATAGCATCATCTTCATCAGTCTCTCTGAGATCATATATGTTGATGAGGCCATCTGTTGAACCTGATGCCATTTTGTGGACTTCACTTGGATGAAATTGCACCTTTTAGAGAAGATAAATCACTTTACCATTAAAGCTAGAGAGCCCCTAAGAAAAAGGTGAAGTTCTCGTCACAAAAAGATAAATTGCATGCTACTGGAAAAAAATGGGATTTTATTATCAGAAACAGTTGATTGTATCTCAGGAAAAGAAAAAAAAACTGTTTTTCTTTTATTAACTTGTAACATGAATAATGTTTTGAAATAAAAATGAAGTTGTCACTGATCGCTGGATCTCAGAGTCAATAGATCTATTTAAATACCTGTGTTATGTCATCATTATGACACTCTGTAAACCTCCTAATAGGAATACCAGGTTTCCTTCTGTCCCTGAAGAAAGAGCAATAATGGATATGTACAGGGTGAGCTCATATAAAAAGATGAATACAATGGACATGTTCAGGGTGGCCTATACATGTAGTACTGAAGAAAGATAAAACATAAAACATCAATATTTTCCATTCTGATGTTAGAAACTAATTTTAATTATGCTCCATTAGGGTAATAATAACAAACGGAAAGGAATTTTTGCTCATGGTAATAGGTATAGTATATTTTTTATTAAAGTTATGAAGTAAACTTTCAAGAATTACATACCAGAACATGATCCAGGTGTCCCCATCTATTCCTTCAGTGCCACAGCAAACTGTCCTGTCATCACAACTAACACTGAGGCTGAGAAACATACCTCTCTCATCACCCTGGCCTAAAGTGACAACATGCATGACTTAATTGCATTGGCCTTAGTCCCACTTTAAAAGTGAGCATTCTTTAAAGGGTCATGTTATTGAAAATTATTTTAAAAAGCTATCACATGGATGATACATGTACTATATCTAGTATGTATGTGGTACTTTACAAGTGAGAATGCTTATTGCTTACTAATCATAATCTATTTCAAGATACATACATATTGTAACTTGATAATGCAATGTACTGTACCTTCATATTTGTGAACTTGGTTATTTTTATCTCTGGTGTCCCAACACCTGAAAACATAATTGTAAACGTCTGATTGACCAATAAAAATAGAGTATTTATTCTCTTCAGCTTGATGATATAACGTAAAGTCTTCACTCAAGAAAGCGTATATAAGATGTACTATGTAAGGATTTATATTAAGGGATTGAAGGCCCATACTAGGAGATGTATTAAGGGATTGAAGGCCTATATAAGGAGATTCATTAAGGGATTTAATTATTAAGGGATTTTATCATTTAAGGCCCATATAACAAGTTGTATTGGGATTGAAATCAGACATCCTGGACTTACCTGAAGACCTAAGACAGTAAGGAAATGTATTATGTGATTGAATGCCATATAAGGAAAGGTAAAAGGACTTACCTGACCGTTGCATCAAGAGAAGAACTGTATACTAATGCTGGTTCCCGTGTTCCAAACTTGACACTGCTCACTACACCTTGATGGCCTGGAAAAACAAGAACTCTTGCATATTGATATGCAATGGGCTTGGAAATCTTTTATTATTAATAAAGTCTAGACAGGACGGTGTAAATCCTCCAAGCACCTCACTCAATGTTCCATATTTGTTTGTAAATGAACTGTTAATTTGTTGAAGTAAAATGAAACTGAAATTATTTTAAATGTCTCAAACAACTCTATAATACCAGTCAAAGAACTGCTTTCAAACAACTTTCAGTGATAAATTATAATCAATTTAAAGGACATTTACGCCATATATCTTACCTGTTATTTTCCCCTTAAGTGCCAGATTCTGTCTTGAGTGCAGTCGTATGCTATTGTTTGTGCCAGTGACGGCTAGAATTCCATCACCCCTGAAAATTACCAAATATGGATCGAGTTAAAACCCTGTGAGAATACACCGAAAATAGACCTCAATCGATTTTTAAAATAAATTCATGTATGTTCCAATATTTATGGTTGAGGTGAGAAGATGTCAAATTGAAATGCAATCAATTACACTCATAGCAACACTAAAATATTTACCTGATCAAAAGTAGAATGTAAATCACTTACCCTGGATCTGAAGGCTGTGATGCAAGGTCCAAAATATAATTTTCTTCAGTTTTTTCGATGGATATTGCAGCTTTTTCTGATAACGTCAATCTTGCGAATTGGTCTATCATCTTGCCTCCTTAACAAACTGAAATTAAATGTGAAGCATATTCACATTGAATTATGACAATTAAGGCCCTTAATAGAACTAACTATGCAAAGAAAGCAATTTGAGAAAGGATAAGTCAGGATTTGATTCAGGATATAAACATAAAAAACTAATTCAATCACACATAACTAAACCTTCAATATCCTATACTTGTTCAGAGAGGCTAAAAGTATTAATTTGAATCATGAATATTGGTATCAAGAACAAATTAATTTCAAAAAGATTTCAAGTGTATGTACTTAATGAAAAATGTATACAAAACGTTTCATCCTACCATACATTTACTCTCTTGGTAAATACATTGAACAGTTGAATGGCATCTCTTTCAGAAAATTTTCAGAAATTTTTTTCACTGAATTTTCGAGACCCTATCTGTTTTCAAGACTTATGCCTGGCACAAACGTCACCAAGTTATTAAGTGTTTTTAAGTTTCGCAAGGATCCTGCCATGACTGTGGTAGTGTAATCTTGATAGCCTGACAACCATTGCCACAATCATAGGCTTTAACATTACCTTGGTCATGACAGGCCTTACAACCATTGGGACAGTCATATAAGACTTTAACATTACAACAGTCATGACAGGCCTTGCAATATAATATGGCATTGTCACAGTTATACCAGGCTTTCAAGATGACAATACCACGGTCATGGCAGGATCCTTGCGAAACTTAAAAACACTAATTACATGGTGACGGTTGTGCCAGGCATAAGTCTTGCAATAGATAGCATGTGGAATTTTCTCGTTTTTATACATTTTACAAAACAAATCTTCTCACCAGTTTTTTCAAAGCACATATGAAATTAAGTGCACTCTTTGTGCAAAACTGAAAGATGCAGACAATGTGTAGTGATTCCTGTTTGAAAAATAACATGTGATCATGTGACTCAATTGAGGAATGCAGAAAAATTCCGAACATGCACCTTGGCCTAATATTGTAATGACCTTCGATAGCAAGTCGCTACTACAGTCTCAGCTGTAGTGGCTAGCCCTTATGGTTCAGGGGTAGAGCGTCTGACTCGAGAGTGGAAGTTCCTGGGTTCGATTCCCCTACGGAGCATTGAATTTAGCACATTCTCTTTCGAGTCTAGTATCTGGCTCGGTACATTACAGCTCCCCGACGAGCGTGCCCAAGGGTCGTTACATTGGTGTCAGAAGTGGGATTGCACTTGTGAATCAATTATGACGGGATGTCGTCTTCTAGGGGGATGGTGTAATGACCTTCGATAGCAAGTCGCTACTACAGTCTCAGCTGTAGTGGCTAACCCTTATGGTTCAGGGGTAGAGCGTCTGACTCGAGAGTGGAAGGTCCTGGGTTCGATTCCCGTACGGGGCATTGAATTTAGCACATTCTCTTTCGAGTCTAGTATCTGGCTCGGTACACTTCAGCCACATGCTATCTATTGCAAGACTTATGCCTGCCACAACCGTCGCCATGTTAATCAGTGTTTTTTAAGTAGCGCAAGGATCATGCCATGACCCTGGTAGTGTTATCGTGTAAGCCTGGTATAACCGTGGCAGGCTGGTATAACTGTGACAATGCTGTATGATATTGCAAGGCCTGTCATGACCCTGGAAGTGTTATCGTGGAAGCCTGGCGTGACCGTAGCCTTTATTGTGGTTTATAAGCGAATGTGAATATTAATGTACAGTAGTAATTTTGATTTTGACATGATTAAGGTAGTTAAACACCATGATCATAGTATTAAACTGTTTAATTGTAATGACGATCACTTAAAATTGTTAAGGATATTCCTGGCATTAATGTCATACATATTTACTAATCATTGGCTTTTGCAATACATTATAACGGTCATAGTAGGACTAAGCCTAAATTTCTACATTACCACCATCATACCTGGCCTTGCAATACTATATTACATTGTCATGGTCATACCAGGCTTTGCGATCCCATTATACATCGTCACATTCATGCCAGGTTTTGAAATACATATTGTCACGGTCACTTATAGCAATCATATATTTCTACATTACCACTCTCATACCCGAACTTGCAATACTATATTACATTGTCTCGGTCATGTCAGGCCTTGCATAATTATATAACATCGTCACTGTCATGCCAGGCCTTGCAGTACTACAGTATATTACATTGTCACGGTCATGCCAGGCCTTGCAGTACTATATTACATTGTCACGGTCATGCCAAGCCTTGCAGAACTATATTACATTGCCGCGGTTATACCAGGCTTTCACGATATTGCCACGGTCATGGCAGGATCCTTGCGCTAGTCTACTTAAAAACACTGAATAACATGGCGACGGTTACACCAGGCGTTAGTCTTGCAACAGATACGGTCTCACTTCAGCTCCACGACGAGCATGCCCAAGGGTCGTTACAGTATTGCTGTGCAAGTTCAAGTCACCAAGATTTACTCGAGTCTCTAAACAATTCTTGGCTAAAGTAATTCCATCTGGAACACCGTGAACTATTGAAATTTTCAAATAATGCACTGTGGTCAACTGTTTTTTTTTCTTTCTGAAAACCACGGTTATGGGAAGTCCTCCATATATTACTTATATTATTTGTGTATATACACTGTACCTCCTAGATGGAGGACTTCCCACTGATTTCAGAAAAATCTCGAATAGATGAGATATAACAATTTCCTTTGCTGTAAAAACATATACCAGACAAAGAATCTATAATTATTGATTCGTTAGACGTCTATATTTACCCGATTTATTTGTAGATTAGCAGTAATAGCTAAATTAAATGTTTTTAATCTCAGCTCATGTGTTCAGATTGCCGCCATGTTTATGGTCATGTGACCAGATAATAAAGTCACGTGACATAATTTAAAGGGCCTTATTTTTATTACAACATTTACCTATACATGTATATTGTATATGTAAGAAATAACAAACAATTGTTAATGTTTTGATTCACAATGCAAATCTGTAGTAGGGCATAAAGGTCAGGGCTTTAAATTGATATTGTCCTCAGGTCAATAGCTTCAAAAACCAGATTGACAATATATTCAGAAATGAACAATACAACTTCTGAACTATTTATTTGGCGCATCGCACAACAAATAACAAGTAACAAATACAAACAATGACCGATAAAAAGATGGGGATTATACAGGATCCAACCTTCTTCCCCTAGGATAGATGTAAGATGTAAGAAGGTCTTGCAGCCTTACATTCAACAATCAATCTCTGATAGTGTCAAGACTCCAATTAGTTCAACCATGGGCTTTCAAGAGATCTGTTGAAAGCCCATGGTTCAACTTATCAGGGACAGGGCAGCTGCCCCATTTTGGTCAATGTAATCATATTACCTTGCCACAACCAGAATGATGATCAGTTAAGAGTAAGACAAGGCCCTTTAATGTGCTGAACAGTAAAACTTACACCATCTCCCTCATTACACCATCTTGCCGAAATATTGAAATAATCAACAGAACAATCAACCTCCAGAATTAAACACAATCGATTCCTCGACTAGCCAGGGGAATCCCCATTGAGTCACACAAGCAGGCCTGTCAACTGTCCCGCAATTTGCGTATTTGTCACGCATTTGGTGAAGAATTTGAAGTCACGCCAGTTATTTTTGCGGGACAGAAAATGTCACGCAAATACGAGCGCGAAAAGTTTGAGGTGTTCAAAATTTGGCAAGATGTAATAAAATTTAAACCAAGGTGTTCAAAATTTGAATCAAGGTGTTCAGATTTGGACCAAGGTGTCCACATTTTGAGGGGAGGTGTTCAACATTTCCAAGTCACTCATGTTAGGTGTTCCCAAGTCATGGCGTAGAATAATGGAAATAGCGTCATGAATCCCGGGACAATGAATCCCGGATCCAAGTACGTCATTAATGGTCGAAATTCAAAATATTGACAAATTTATAACCTAAAAGGCCGAAAGATTATGCGGCAAATATTGAAACGGGTGGTGTCAACATATTGTATTAGCTTTGATCTCTTAGAATCCGTTGAATCCTAAGCGATTGGAGTTGTTTAGATCACTTAACGAATGATATAAAATGATGAGGATTTGGGTTTTTTCAAAGTTTATAATGGCGGCCAATGGGGGATTTTAGCAAAATATCCCGAAAATTAAATCATTAAAAGGCCGAAAGATCTGTGGATGGATTTTGCTGTTTTATATATCAAAATGAACACTTCGTCGGGTCTAACAAGGATCCGTTGAATCCTAAGAAAATAAATGATTTGCTAAAAAGATATTAAGATTTTAAATTTTGATGAAGACTGCTCTCCATTGAAATCTTTGGACCATGAAATGTCGATTTACGCGCATGCGCTGTGACGTTATTTCCATTATTCTACGCCATGTGACAGGCCTGCACAAGTGCCCACAAGCGCCTTGAACCAGGCAGCCAATAAGGTTCATGATAAACTAATTCAACGACCAATCAAATGACAAGAGGACTTTCCAGGTATATTCAAACTTCAGATTGAATTAATTTCCGCGAAAATAATTAGATTGGCCAGCACAATCGCAAAATTTACACTGAAAGAGGGGGATTCGGGACTTTTTCTATGCTAAGTAGATGGGTGAATATGTATATGTGGTGAAACTCAATATGCAAAAAAGTCCAAAGGGGTCTTGATTGTGCTATCCTATGGCACAGAACCTCTTTAATAACGCAGATGCGAGTAGGTAGTTACCAGATTCACCACCAGGTGGCTCGTTCGGGTCAGATAGCATGGCGGGTATAGTAGAAAGTTCCATTTAACCCGTATGTATCTAATAGTTATGCAAATTAAAATACATCCAGTAAAAGAAAATGTTATCTGTCCAATACAAAAAAAGATAATTCACTTTTTGTGATTTTGTAACATGGGGTCTATGAGGAATCAACCCGAACAAGAAGTCACATTTTCAAAAAAATTAAATTTTCAAAGTTGATAGACAATTTTCGAAACCATATTTCTAGACGCACTTTAACATGCAGATTTCAAATATGACATCACTTTGACTGAATTTTGAATATTTAATGACGTAAATCAAGATTATTTCTACTCGCATCTAGTCTATTGGAACTTTTAAAATGTTGAGTGACAGTGAAGGGCTTCTATGTGAAATTCATAGTTTTATTTTGCTTATCTATGTCTTGTATAATGGTTAGCATGTAACCATTTGATCATGATGATAGATTTGTAACAGGCCTGTAGCCAGGATTTGCCAAGTGGGGGTTCAGTTTTCAAAAATTTCCAAGGGGGTTCACATTTGACAATTTTGGCCCAAGTATGGCTAGAATCACTTGAGAATTGCTCGAAACAGTGTAAAACTGCATGATTTTGACCGGGATTTTGAAAGAATTTTTGGCCAGGGGGGGGGGGGGGGGCGGGCAACCTCCCCCTGGGTACTATATACGGGCCTGTGCAATGACCCATTATCCAATTCTGTTTGTGTCAGCATCATGAATAGTCATCTTGACAACCATACAACACTTACCATTAGACCTGAATAAGCACCTTTCTCGTTATTCCCTATGATACTACATGTATATATAGATTTTTTCTCAACTTCATTAGTTCCCTAGAATCTAAATAAAAAAAAGTGACCTTGGATGCGGTGATTGGATATATAATGTAATGCAGTTATAAGAAATAGCTTGTTCTGATTGGCTGGAAGAATTGGACACACATTGCCTTGCTATGTGTGAATACATGTAATTGCACGGATGTTATGATACTCAAATAATGACATCACATTTTATTTAAAATAAAGTACAAATACAAGGTTTCACATTTACATACCATTTATTTTACATATAATACAGTATATACATTTTAACAGAATATAAAAATGTTAAAACATTCAATGTCACATTCACTTCATTCATGGGCTTTCAATTAGTTGAAAGCCCATTCTTCATTCAAATCACTTTTTGCTTTATAATATTACGTTCTGAAGATTGAAAAATATGACTCAATTCCCAGTATTTTGAGCCTACTTATAACTATATTGAGCCATTATTCAGTTATTAATGAAGAAATTCATATTCAAAGGATTTCTTGTTTACTGACAATTTGGGCAAATCAGTAACTTTAATGAGCTCTAACTTTCCTCCTAGGGGAGTATGAGTCACATTGTTTTGCTAAAACATGCCTTATTCAATTTGAAGAAAAGACAGAAAGTCTCAGGTCAAAAGATCGACTACAATAAAAGATCTGCCCCCTCTCTTACCGTTTAAGGGTTACAATATATATCATCCTCCAAATTCGGATTAAATTCAGTGAAAAACAGAATATTTTATGAGGGTACACTATATCATGTGTCATGTATGACTAAAAATTTATAACAAGAAATAAAAAAGGACAAAAACAACAGTCCAAGAGACAAAATATTTTAAAAGGGACGCTGTTTTTATTAACAAATGGATCCAATTTTTTCCCTCTTTCAAATGTGGTTAATGATATTTTTCTTCAATATTCCACCCAATTTTGCACAGGTTAGATGAGATCCCTGATGTGCAACTTTGTTAAGTCAGAATAAAGTTATAAACTCAAATCAGGTCTATGTAGAATAATGAATCAATAATGACGTGTGATAACAAAACAAATTATTGCAGATTAATGCTAAACCTATAGGTTCAAAATTGTCTGACTTTGGCCACTACAGTTGTCAACTTATTAAACACATGGATCTTATAATGCAATGTCTCATCAACTTTACTAAAAATTATGTCAATCGATCCCACCTGGGATTACAAGATTAAAATATAAACGCATGAAAAAGAATATTCATCTCAGATTCCACTAATCGGATTCAGCATTCAATGTTTCAGTCAGTCAGTGTTGTCCAAAGTATAAAATAAAGTTCTCTTTGGGCTTAAATGGCAATTCAACATCTTTGTTTTGCAAACAAGCGGTGACTCTGGTATAACTCAATAGTTCCAAGTGAGTCTGGTATAACTCAATAGTTCCAAGTGAGTCTGGTGTAACTCAATAGTTCCAAGTGAGTCTGGTATAACTCAATAGTTCCAATATAGAGAGTTTGATATAAAGTTCCCCACTTTTCCAAACCAGCCAGATTTTGCATCTGATTCTTCACCAAATCTTGATATTGCACCTTTTTCTTTAACTGGACTGTCGTCATCTTCTAGATATGGTGGCATGTCATAGTTCTCTTTATTAGGCAGAGGTTTGGCACCAAAACTGAGGAAAACCTGCAAATCAGATTGTAAGCAACATGTTTTATGTAAAGCTTGACACCTCCTTGATTGAAAACATTTCTCATGATTTAAGGTCCAGGGCTTTATCATACAACTTAGCAAGGCATATAAACATTAAGTGATTTCTTGCATAATAAAGAATTAAAGGTACATTCCAATTTCATTGTTTTAAATCCATTTTCAACTTAAAACTAGGCCAGTAGGTTATAATATGAGAATCTAGTAACATGATCACCATACTTGATGATTTCATTGAAAATCACCTGTTTTTAAGACCTTATAATTTTGGAAAATTAGGATCTGCATGGTAAGTGAACACTTTATCTTATGTTTTGAGAAGTTGTAACTCAAAAGCTGAAGTTAAAGAGGATGAAAAGTGGCAAAGAAAAGAAATCCCCAAAAAATTAGAGACCGGCGGCATTCATTTTTAGCATAAGACACTGGCGCTATCAGGTCTGAAGATGAGTAGGGGTGCCGGACTCTAAAAGCCTACTGAGATCGCTGCTTCTATAAAAATAATCTGTAAATGTTACACTAACTTTTCCATTGATTTAGATTTAATGTGTTTTTGTAATGTTCCATATGATGTTTTATGAGTCAAACTGAGAAGTTCAATTAATGGAATAACTATCATAGCACTCACCTCTCTGCCTGTTTCATCACGGACAACCTGTTCTGCCGACATGGTCTCCGTTGAGGCTATGGCATGGACTAGAATCTAGAAAAATTGCAAACTAAAGCTGATTATTGAAATTAGTGTGTAAACATGAGGGCCAGATCATCACCAGTTTGCGACAATGTATGAGCTGCTATGTTAAAATATTATGCCATAAAGACAACTGCAATACTGTATGAATGTATGTCGTATGATACTATTATATTCGTATCACTGGCATGCTTTCAATTGAATAATTGGTCAAAACTGAGTCATTGTCACAAAGGATCAGGCTCTGGCAATGCTTATCAAATCATACAACTGTGAATAACTGGCTGTATTTTTCCACTGCGTTGCTTATAGTCAAGCTGATGCTCTCTGGAAATACTACTGAACTATTTCCTCAAGTTAATAGATTATATAGTCTTACAGGATCCTATATCAGCTTTTAAGCTTTAGGAAAATGCACCAACCATTCATAAGGAAAGTTTCATGAATGACATACTAACCTCAGGCTCCAGCTCCAGCTTGGCCCTGATGATACATCTCTGTTTAGGAATATTACAGGTGACACTTATTACTCCCTTCACTCTTATGAGGACCTCATGGCAGGCATCACTGTCAGTCTGCAAAATATCAAAACTAAATTGAATTTATTATTATAATAGGTGACCACATTTGAAATTTATTTTCAAGGATCACTTATTTTGAAAAATGGACCCCTCTTTTTAAAAATTGCTAATAAGTTCCAAAGAGGTGCAAAAGAAAATAATCTTCTGAATAATGTTTTGATTTCTTGTCAAATATAAGATCTGTCCGTCCCCATCATTTATGGGTTGATAAGTTGAAACTTCAAGCACATCCTTCTAATGGTTGCCAGTATGCAATTCTGTGTGACTAATATTTCTTTTGGGTTTAATTGTAAAAAGTTTATAGCCAATCTTACTGTACCTTATGATGAAGTCCCTTTATGTGCAGTGTTATAACTTTGGTTCTTGTCAGAAAAACATTCCTGTGTTTCTTTTTGGCACTTTTTATAGGAGTGTGTCTGAAATAGAGTCAATTAAATAATATAAATAAGGGTCCACAGGGAGGGGGGAGGCTGTGCATGTTTCGTTATTCTGAAATGTAGTCAGTTAAATAATATAAAGAAGCGGTCTCGGGTTACAGTGAGCAATGATAAACAAAATATGAGTACTTCTCTTTACAAAGGGAACAACTTTTTTGATCATGTTTCTTTTAACTTAAAAAGTACTTTTCAATGTAAGAGAAAAATATGATAAATATAAAGAAGTGTACTACTACGTAGTATCTAAAGAAAGACTACCAAGCAGTACCAAGTGTCTGAAGGCAGCATAATAGTGCCAATAGTTACAGGAACACAGTAACTTAGGAATTTAAGAAGTTACAAAGATACAAACAAAATCAACTTACTTGCTTTTGTTGATAAGTTTTTCTCTCAGAACATCGCCAGAATCTTCAGTTAGATTTTTCTCAATGTTCTCTGCTAACTCCTTCAGATCTGGCATTGGTCTGAAAAACAGCAATAAAATAGAAGTAATATTATAATGCTTTAGGTTATGTACTTCTAAACAGTTAAGTTCTCAGATAAAATAGAAAAACATGGAAATCATAATCTAATCCTAAAGACAAGATACTTTTGATTAATGAAAATATCAAGAGATATCTGATTTTAAGTCCCATTAAACCTTGATGAATGTCAAAAAATGCAGAAAAAGGTTTCTGGATCAAGGTAATAAGCTTCATTTAAGGGACTTATTTATAAAATGCAAGTTAAACTGACACACGTCATTATTTAGCTTACTCAAGACAACTGACAATTAATGTGATTTCTATTACAGCTCACAGAAAACCCCAATAAATCATTACCCATTTCTGACAGTCTCCAGTTGTTCCATGAGTCCTATGAAATCTCTCATTCTGCTTTTGTCAGTTTTCTGGTGGGACAGCATCAACAAAGTCTAAAATACATCAACACCTATAACTTACATTTTGTTTGTTATGATGTTTATGAAGCAATTCCATTTATGTTCAAGATTAATGTTACGAAATGTTAAAAAAATAAGTTAGGTAGAGAAAAAAGCAATTTATTTTGATACTGTACTCATTATATCTATTTTGAATAGGCTACTTTTTTATTCAGACATCTATGCCACATGAGCTGCTATTTTAGTAGTTTACCTCCAAGGCATCCCTAACAATTGACAAATCTGGATTGGATAAGAGCATCACAAGACCACCAAACAGGACATCATCCTGTAAAACACATAAAATCAACTATATCTAACTGCTTAAGTTTTCTGTTTCAGTAGTAATTAACAAGCAATCATGCATTAAATAGAGTCAAAACACCTAGAACAGTCATGTTATATTACATTTGGCTACAGCTACACATTTAATTGGACATTTTATGTCCACAAAATGATTTGTTTCAACATTCAAATATCATGACTACTCCAATTTTAGTTTTTCATTGTTCATTGGCTTTTATAATTTTAATCTTCATTGTTAGATGATGAATAATTTGATACCCAAATACTTACATGGATGACAAGATGTCTGCCTTGTTCTGACTTTGCCATGTTCTTCACTAAGTCAAGGGCTTTGTTAGATCCCTCCATTATGCTGTATTCAGTGTTGGCTGGTGTGTCTAGTATAATGCTCTTGTCTATTTCTTGTATGTAGTCTGTAGTAATGTTGTGGCCCTGCAATAATACACATTATAATACACTGTCACTGACCATTAAATATACCACATCATGTTTAACTATCTTCTTGTAATGTTAATCTTGTCTCTCTTGCAGTATGCTTAAAATCCAATCAATATTTCTCTGTAATGAGTTAAATGAACCAAATAATCTGGTGCAGGATTCTTGGACGTATCCACTTTTCAACCAAGCACTTGGATGTACTATATGAGCCAGTGATGTTATGATGAGAGAATATAAAAGGATAATACAGTATACGTGAACTCCATTCAATTTAATAGCAGCAGGCTGATTTACTGCATCGCCCCTTCACAGAGACACCAGCTGCAAATGAGGACAACCCCATCAACCCCGTGGCCACTATGTCACCATACTATGGATCCCAAATACAATAGAGCAGTACACTGAACAGTCCCTAAGGCTAAGTGCTCCCCCAAGGGATCAACTCCACAAAGGGTCATTCAGATACCTCATCTCCCTCACCAGCTCCTGCAACTCCTGTGACATACTGCAGAGCCAATTGCCTGTTGTCTCAAGCCAACCTCCTACCACACAAGGCTGGAATGACACACACTGCAGAGCCAATTGCACTGTTGTCCCAAGCCAACCTTCTATCACACAAGGCTGGAATGACACACACTGCAGAGCCAATTGCACTGGTGTCCCAAGCCAACTTTCTATCACACAAGGCTGGAATGACACACACTGCAGAGCCAATTGCACTGATGGTCCAAGCCAACCTTCTATCACACAAGGCTGGAATGACACACACTGCAGAGCCAATTGCACTGGTGTCCCAAGCCAACCTTCTATCACACAAGGCTGGAATGACACACACTGCAGAGCCAATTGCACTGGTGTCCCAAGCCAACCTTCTACTACTTTTTTCAAGGCCTGACTGCGTCGCTAACATGCTAAATATAAGAGTTAGCTGATGTTTGGGAGTCTGACTTACCTTCTAAAGGTTAGAACCCGAATCTTAATGAAACCATATCACCTTTGTTGCGTCGATGATGATGCATAAACATAGCATTTGATAGAAATTAGCGTAAATGCTTTTCCGACTTTTTCATTTTTCATCAATGTTGACTTCCGGGAAGGCGTTGTAGTTATCACGAAATAACGCATTGACCCTTGAACTTTACTTTGTTGACGTGTCAACCAAGCATGTCTGGTGTGAAAATTAAAAGAATATTAAGCAATGTTCTACATCTGCCAAGCTAAGTGAAGTAGTCAATATTTAAAATTACCAATTTCAAGTGAAGTACGCAACGAAGGAAACTGCGTGATCTACACTCCCACTATTGGTTTGAATGAAATGCTACGTAGAAATATGAGCCGTCTGCTGTATTAGTCGATTAATAGAGTAAGACCTGTTGGTGACGCTTTATAATTTAGACCAAAACATTGAAGAACAAACGAACCTGTAAATCTTGAAAACAACAAACAAATATTCGGTTTTCACATATGTTCGGTAATTTTTCGTATTGAAACTTCCGGAACTTACAAGGAAATCATTCATTTTCTCGATCCATGATTTACCTCTTGGATGTTGTGGCAAATGCTCCATGGTTGACGGAACAAAGGTGATATGGTTTCATTAAGATTCGGGTTCTAACCTTTAGAAGGTAAGTCAGACTCCCAAACGTCAGCTAACTCTTATATTTAGCATGTTAGCGACGCAGTCAGGCCTTGAAAAAAGTAGTATCTATCACACAAGGCTGGAATGACACACACTGCAGAGCCAATTGCACTGGTGTCCCAAGTCAACCTTCTATCTATCACACAAGGCTGGAATGACACACACTGCAGAGCCAATTACAGTTGCACTGGTGTCCCAAGCCAACCTTCTATCCATCACACAAGGCTGGTTTGTTAGGCTACACGATCTTTACTTTTATTGGCTGTTTGTTACGATGTGACATAATTTGAGAGACGAACAACATCGGACATTGCCGAAAATTACCGAAACACTCCATTATCTTTACACTCTGTAAATGTCCCAGGAAAATTTGATTTACAGCGTCAATAATTGATATCATGCAACCATTCAAACTAATACATAAAGAAGAGATTACAGGGTAAATATTGATCAATCAATGTCTGACACAGACAGATGGAAAAAATGAAGGTCAGTACGAGGGTCATATTTTTGATGTAGCATTTTTGGCTTGTGTCTTATCTTCCCATTTATCCTTTGAGCCTACTACCAATAGGGGCTGGATCTGGCTCCGGATATGTGAATTCTCAAAATATTCAGTCTATTGGATATAGGCCTAGACGTAGATAGGCTATTCAAATTTCAAACAACCTGACCATAAAAAATGCATAAAAAATGCAAAATCAATGAAAGAAAAAATGTTCAAACTGACCAATGAAATTTGATTATTGGATAGACAGTATTTAACTTACCTTAGTTCTTCTGTTCAATAGTTTGAACGTCAGTCAGTTATAGATATTTAGCTAAATTTGTAATGAAAAATACGACGAACTTTAATTTTTTGAAAATCCCACTTCCGGTTGAGTATTTTAATTTCATTGGCTAAAACTTTTTGTTGCGAGATCTGATTGGCTTCGAGAAGCTGAGCGCCACCTTCAGTGATTATTCTAAACCAAAACTAGATTTAAAAATGGTAAGTTAGAGGAAATTTCTTATATTTCATCGTGAAATTTGACTGATATAATTCACATACACAATATCCCTGATAAAGTATATATCTCTAACTGCATTTTTGATTCTTCGTGTTAGATTTTACATCACCTTTTTGACATTTTGCACTGAATTTCTATTTCAATCTTCAATTCACTTTCGACTCATCTTGCATTTAAAAATTTCAGATAGGCCTACTCTAGGGTCTATGCAATGTCTAGGCTAATAATTATAGTTTCAGATAATTGGACTGAAATAGCTGAAGTACCTAGTGTAGTGTAGATAGGCCTGTGATCAACCAGTTTTTGACATTAAACAGTTTGAGGAGTTCCAGTTTGATGGATCTAATAGACCTCATACGAATGATTCTTGACATGGTTGGATTAGATCTGTTTGAAATGGTAAGTATTTCAAGAATTTTAACTCTACATAACATTTACAATACGCCTGTCTAAAGACCAGATGTCTGTTAGTTTGGTAGAGTAACATTAGATACATGTATAACTGGATGTGTTTAGTTACCTTCTTCTAAGGCCACTATTGGCTAGAGACTAGAGCCGACTAGAGTAAGTGTTTAGAATTCAGAAAAATCTTCGCTGATGACACAACGATCTACCCATGCCATACCTGACACCATCAAACTATACAAGAAGACATACATGTACATAATGTAAATTGTAATAAATCGCCGGGCCCTCTCTCTGAACAAATACGTGGTAGCGTGGCTAGGGTCGGGAATATTATGAAACTAAACTCTATACTTGGTCTTTAATTGAGTCAATCAAATTATTTGCTTGGTCATTAACGGAAATTTGGAATAATATAATACGGGAAGGTATTGCCATCTTTAAATGACAAACTGGACCAAAATAGTGCTTACTGTGGAAGGGGGTGATTGCAATAAAAAATGATTGAAATTGAAACTTAAACACAACTTGCCCCTACGTATTCTCAACAGATTGCAAATGTGAGCTTGATATGACCCCTTAAATATATGGATTTTAAATGAAGATGAAACAATCTGTTGAAAATAAACTTAGACCAAATTGACCACCTTTACGCAAAACAACAGACAAAGAAATTAGATTATAAAGTTTAATGATGATATAAATCTAATATGTAAGATATAATGTGAAAGATGATATATTTATAAATGAATATTTACATAATCAATGAGTGTCACGAAGTTACGAATAAGAAACTGTTTCTCACAACAGGACCGATCTTATTTAACTTACTCTTGATTTAAAGCAAAACTCACTTATCCATTCTTCCCTAATCCATCTCTACCTGGCACACAATGAACCAATCTATCTCATAACAGCACCAAACATATCTACAGTGACCACTGACAACTTAACCTAATGGAACGCTTAGCAATAATAGTCATCTTTGATCAAACTGAACAAGGTAGAAAAAAGCAACTAAACTAAAGTTCAGAACACCAACAGAACATGAACAAGAAGAATACTTAATAGCGAAACCCTGCTTGAGATGCTGCCATGAGTGGGTGTGGTCTGTGTCCCTGCACGTTCACACGGTCTGGAATACACGAATCTTGCGTCTCCTTAAACAGCTTTACGAATTTGTTACGAAAGTCTTGCGTTAATTAAAATAGTTCACAGGAATTCGGCTATACTCTGACATATATTCATCCCACACAAAATGATAAATCTGCAACCAAAGTCTATTTTATATCAGTTCTTCACAAGCATATCCAGATCGGCCCCCATCTTAGCAGTCCATTGATGTTTCTCTTTACTAGCAGGCAATTCCTATCATCTCAAACTTAATCCAAAACTATCACAATGCATTATTTCTAGTTTCAAAGATCTTGTTCCCTTGTCAGTTCCAAACTTCAGACTTTCAGACTAACTTAACACCTACTGTTAAACAATATGAAGCCTTTACCAGGATGCTATTGGTCGGCTCTCTGGCTAGCTAAATAACCTTGAAATTTGATTGGCTAAAGATTTAAAAACACATGTAGACTGATGCTCTATAGTACTGCCTAGCCTTAACATGTTAACTCAAATATCTCCCAATGAAATGTAATGCAACAAAAATTAAAGTAAAATATAAAAGACATGATGAAATAAAATAGTAATGAGCCAGGATCATTACAAAATGAACTCATCATCTGGTCAAATAAATGGCTTCTTCGGCTTAAATTCAATTCCATCAAATGTAAAGTCCTTCATCTGGGGAACAACAATTAGCATAAATACACACTTACTGTAACTATGAACCATTGGAGTAAATTACCAAAGAAAGAATGAGACCTTGGCGTGACCATTTTGAAAAGTTGAAAGCCCATGACGTGACCATAGATCAGGAAATATCCAACTGTGTTAACAAAGCCAATAAGATCTTGGGTGCAATCAAAAGAACATTCTCAAATAAAGATGCAGACATATTCCTTCCCCTATACGCAACCCTAGTCCGTCCCCACCTGGAATACTGCAGGGTAGCCCAGAATCCCAGATATCAAATGGACTTTAATAAGATCGAGAAAATCAGAGTCAAGCCACCAAACTCATCACTGGCATGACTGACCTACCCTAGGCTATGCAGAGCGATTAAAACTCTATCTATTCGGATTGCCAATGACATACAGGAGGAAAAAGTGAGATTTCATCCAAGTGTATAAAAAATGAATTGCCAAAGACACTATAGAATCATCCCACTTTTTTACCCCAAGTCAAACCAATACAAGAGGCCAGATGTGATCTTGCCCTCACACAAGGGTTGTTCAGTCAGCGCATAGTACAAAACTGGAACAACCTTCCAGAAAATGTAGTCTCGTCAAGTTTTTTTTTTTAGTTTTTTTATACATTATCAATTTATTTCATCATAATCATGTTTTACAAGAATGGCAATTGCCAATCACTTATAAAGCATTATAGGCTAAGCTAGAAAATACATAATTTAATTACAAATGTAAATGCATGTAATATGGAAGAATAGCAGCAATTTGGATAAGAAATGGGAAATAGGACAGGCTGGGGTCATGTGTCATAGTCTCAGTGAGGGAATAGTAGGCATAGTTAATACTTGCTTGGAGGGTCCCATAGAGAATTATGATTATGTTAAGAGTTCTCCAGTAAAAAATTGGCAACAAGAGCAAAAAGTTCATTATTTTGTGCCAGCGATAAATCGTCACTGCCATGTTTCAGAAAATCTATAAATTGGCTTTTGTTCCTTATAGCTAAAGGCTTGTAAGTCTCTACAAGTGCAAGAAAAGTGTTCCTATTTTGTGCTTTATTTGGACAATAAAAGAATAAATGTTTTGGAGTTTCAGGCACACCACAAGCGCAGTTTGGTGTTTCAATATAAGTAAAATTATGGCCATATAGCTGAGCTTTAGTGAGCAAGTCAACTCTGAATCTATTGAGAATTATTTCTTGATTTCTTTTTAACTTTAATTTAGTAGTTGGTAAAAAGGAGGGCTTAGGGATTTTATTTTTTTGTAAGTTATTGAAGCTGGTAATTGTTTTGCTTTCTCGAATATACTTTGGTAGCTTATTCCAGTGGGAGATAGCATTGAGGACAGAAGAGTTTCTAAATTTGGTTGAGCTTTTGGCAGGTATTTTGAAATCAGGATTTGATCGGAGTTCTCGGGGATTTTGAATCCTCAGAGGTTCAAAGATGTCTTTCACATAGCTTGGAGTGAGATTATTTTTAACTCTAAACATGAATTTATTTATTTGCATTGAGTGTATTCTTTACCTTAATTGAACTACTACCATGTAAACATCCACTGCATATAAGAGCAGCTTGATAGAATAATTTATTTAATATGTTAAGGAAACTTTGAGTAGAGGAATCGTAGAGTATTGCGCCATATTCAAAGTGTGGTCGAATGAAAGACATGAAAATTGTTTCGAGGACATTGGAATTTAGTTTCTTTTGCAGTGATCTGAGAGGATTCAGGAGCTTGTTTACTTTGTTTCTTATGGCAATTATATGTTGTTTGTTAGACATGTGCTCATCAAAGGTATAGCCTAAATGTTTATGCGATGTTTCCCTTTTTATTAAAGCATTATTCATAAAGGAATTGTTCACTTGGCCAAGTTTAATTCTGGAATTATGAAAAATTATTTCGACACTTTTTTCAGGTTTAAAGTTGAGTTTCCATTTAATAGACCATGATTCAATTCTTTCTATTGCTTGGGTTACTTTGTTATCAATTTCTGAAGGATTTTTAGTACTAAACGGGAAGTATATAGACGTATCATCTGCATATATAAAGCAATCGGTATTCATATTATCGGGTAGGTCGTTTATATATAGTAAGAAGACAAGGGGCCCTAGTATTGATCCTTGTGGCACTCCACTTTTGATAGCATGTGTTTGTGATAAAGATGAGGATCCTGAAATGTTCACTCTGACTCTTCTTTCATAAAGATAAGATTTAAGGAGATTTAGAACTTGTCCCTGCAGACCATATGATTTTGATTTAAGTAGTAGAAGATTGTGAGGTACGCAGTCAAAGGCTAAGGCAATATCAAGAAGTATTACATACCCAGCGAAGCATTTGTATTGAAGTCAATGGAGCTGAAGGTCGGCTATATATTCCTGTATAGCTGCCAAACCTTTTACCATGACAATCTTATGACGTCATCGGGACGTCATGTTTCATTTCTTCCTAATTTCACTCGCACACAGACACGTGGCGTCATTGATATAACGTAGCCATGATATAAAAGTATGTAATACAACAGTTATGTCCGTATCATTGAATATATGCCTTCGGTCTGTCGTAATATAACCCTTGCAAGCTCGGGCTATATTGGTGACAGACCTTAGGCATATATTCAATGATAGGGACATAACTGCTAAAAAGAGCTTTAACTCCCTTACCTTGATCAAGATTTGATTGGATAAGATGTTCAATGGCAACAAGTTGGGATTGGGTAATGTGACCCGGCAAGTTCAACGCCTAATACTACCCAGATAGGCTAGGACGACCAGTTCACACTTTACACTAGGTTTCTATTTAAATTTTTTGTTCAATGTTTGAGTTTGCAGATATTCAAGTTGAGAACATTTTGACAAATGGTAGAAATGGATAGGTAGAAACAAGTACAAAACTGCAAGTATATTGATAGATTGACATTTATTGAACATGCAACTCTAAAACAATCAGAATGGATTGTAGGCAGTGTATGCTGTAGTTTTGTAGTAAATCTAACATTGTGTTGTAAGTTGACAGTCTACAATTGTTCTCTTTTCACCTATAATTTCAGCCTCAACCTGTATGGACTGTTGGTAGACAAAGAGATGGAATGTCTCCTCGTTATCATAATATTGTTCGTAGAATTGGAAGTGCTCTACCTATAGAGGGAGCAAAAAGGATACATATACAGGTAATACTTTCAAAACAGTCTTCATTATCTCCTATATCAAAAAGTTTTATTCAACCCAACATTTTTTTGACTTTTTTTGATTCCCGGTTCTGGCAAGACTTACTTTGCTTGTTTGTGTAAAAGTACTTCGGGTTGTTTGATTGAGTGATCCACAACTTGTAAAAAGGCTGTGGTGTGTACTTGTACATGTCTATGTATCATGTGTTTGAGTGCACATAAAAGAACACAGGACTCCTTTCAATTATGATGATGTGTTAATTATGACTTTATATGTATACTGGATATACTCAAGAGGTATAGCACTCCTCCATTGTTGGTGAACAATAAAATACAATACAATATTAATACAATATGATACAATACAATACAATTGAATGCAATACAATACATTATACAATACACTGGGTCAGAATTGAAGCATAGATTTTCTTGACCATATTAGGAAAGAGAATGTTAGATTTTAATATTTTTGTTCACCACATATCCACATTCAAATAAAAAGCTGTCCAATGAACAATACTGACAGTTAGACTGATTCTTTTGCAGAAGAGTTTAGTTGGGTATAAACAAGAGCCAAAAGCCATAGCAGAGAGATGTCCAAACTTGGGTGACCTTAGTTGGGTGATGAAATACAATGGAGACAGCTGCATTGTCGTCAAGTAAGCCTTCTTTGATACATAAATGCAAAAACATAAAAAGAATAACTTACCACACCAAATTAGCAATAACAGCTAATAGAATTGATTCTCAATTGTTGTGATGTGTAATGAAATTGAATTAAAACTATAGATATCAAGCAAATCGTGACATGAAATATGTGTGAATTCAAGTCAACTTGTTAACTGAGTCCTATTTTCAAAGTGTATAGCAGGCATGTTCTGTTTATCTGTTTCACTTATAAAGCACTACATTAAGATTGTTAATCAAATTTTTATTGTAAATAGGGGGACTGAATTTGACAGAGATGATAGTTCATCATTTGGGGATGATACATTATTAAATGAGGAGCCCCTGAGATGCTCCACTCCCCTGAACCAGACCACTGACTCCACTGTTTACCACACACCAGATGTTAAAGCCATGGAGAAGATCAGTCAGCTTGAAGATGAGCTTGCCAAGATGAGAGCCCAGATTGCTAGTATTGTAATGGCTCAAGAACAGAGCACTGTTACTCCAAGTAAGTAGCTATCTCTATAGTGAGGCCTTTTGACAGGATGTAAACATATTTTTAATAAGTGACATGTAATAGCATAAATCATGTGTTTTCACATTTCCAATAATGTAGCATGTAAATTTCACATTTTCAACAGGGTAGCATGTGATTTTCACATTTTCATCAAGGTAGCATGCAATTTTCACATTTTCAACATGCTTGGTTGAAGACTTCTGCCTCAAATGTTGAGTGCTCAGAATCCCCTGATATTTACTAAATTGCAGAAATATTTTATTTTTGTATCAACTCTTTGGTAAAATTCTTGTCATTGATTTATATCATACCACGGAATAAACAGGAATTCTATTTCACTGATATTTACTTCTAGGTGTCGCTGACAATTCACATATAGGAGCTGCTGGGCCGACTGTTCCACCACCACCACCAGCGCCACCTATGGGTGGTCCCCCACCACCCCCTCCTCCTCCTCCCCCAATGCTGGCCCTACCCACAAAGTCCATCAATGATATCATCAGAGAGGTAAGCACAAATAATGTTTGTATTTAACGTAAGGCTGTACATTTCTTAGAGTCAGTTGTCAGGTTGTCTTTCTGTCAGTTTCAAATATGTTGATCAGATTGGAACTAGGAGATGTAGTTATTATATAATATTTTTGTTTTCATCATCAAATAAACAAATCAAATTCATGTCTGCTATTTTAAACAAAATCTAGTTCATGGTTCTATTGAAAAAGTTCTGCAGTTAAGTTTTCCAGGTTCTGAAGTAATGGATGATTTGCGATCACCGGATGGATTCTATCTTGTAGTTGACGTCACAATTAGGTCACTCTGCTATAGCTGTTTGATTTTGAGAGATTATCTTCTGTATTTCGTGCTTTATTGATTTATACCTGAATTCTCATTGGTCAATTCTATATGATTTCAGAACAAAGCCAAGTCAGGTGGTGCAGCTGGCAGTTCAAACACAAAGCCCCAGGCATCATTGCCAAATATGAGTGATGTTCTTAAAGGATTAGGAAAAGTCAAATTAAACAGAGTCAAAAGGTTTGTTTGTATTCCCGCTATGTTACTTCTGCTCAGAAGTGGCACATCCTTATTTGGATTAAGATTGCTCAGTTTGTGTTAAAATACATGAGATCAAAGTGAACCTTATTTTATGAACCACCCTCATACATTAAAAATTCCTGATGTGACAGGAAGTAAAATTAGTTAAAGAACCCATCAACTTCTTAGTACTACTTCGTTCAATGAATTAGTTTAAGATTTATTCTGGTTGAATATTGGGATAAATGGTAAATGTCAACTCAACAAAATTACTGTTTACTGTTATGCATGGAATAGACTTTCTGGTTGAGCAGTTTGTGTTTTACTTAGAGGCTGAGTTATAGTTTTGTGAAAAAATCAATGTGGTTGATATTGTAGGTCCCCAGGAGGAACACCACTGCGCCAGAAACCACTCATTTCTGACTCGAGCGATCCAGCCTCTATGATCGCCGCAGCTCTCAAGAAAAGGTTTGCCTCCCAAAGACGTCTAGCAACTCCACCATCCACTCCAGAGCAAGATAAAGAAAACAGTGCAAATGGGTTCTCCCCATTAGCGTCCCCAACACATATTGCAGTGAAAAGTGCCATGGTATGAACAAAAACCTCATTATTCAGTTATTATCCCATCGAACGAAGTTCGGAGGGATATAGGGAACGCCTCCGTCCGTCCGTACGTACGTCCGTCCGTCCGTCCGTCCGTCCGTACGTCCGTCCGTCCGTACATACGTCCTTCCGTCCGTCCGTCCGGGCAATAACTCAAATACTGTTGGCCCGATTTTGTTCATTTTTTGTTCACATATACCCTATGGGGGTAGAAGTTCTGCTCGAAAGCCGATTTTCAAAATGGCTGCTCATTTCAAAATGGCGGCCATTTTATTGCCGAATTTACAGTAATTTAGGTGCAATATGTAAAACTGTAATAGCAATATGTTTTAGATGTAAAAAATTGTATAGGACATTAATAAAGCTAAAAATGTAGATATTAAAGAAGCACATGGCAGCCATCTTGAAAAATGGCGGTCTTAACTCGTTATTTTACGATTTTTGCTGTAACTCGAAAAGTAGTGGAGCGATTTTGTTCATATTTGGTATGTGAATACTATAAACATTGCACACTGTCTAAAGACACTTTTAGTAGAAGGCGGCCGTTTTGAAAAATGGCCTCCATTTTGAAAAATGGCTGCCATTTTAACGTATTTTACTATAACTCGAAAAGTAGTGGAGCGATTTTGTCCATATTTGGTATGTGAATACTATAAGCATGACACACTGTCCTATGACACTTTTGGAAGAAGGCAGTCATTTTTCAAAATGGCCGCCATTTTAACGTATTTTACTATAACTCGAAAAGTAGTGGAGCGATTTTGTTTATATTTGGTATGTGAATACTATAAGCACGGCACACTGTCTAATGGCACTTTTGGTAGAAGGTGGCCATTTTGAAAAATGGCCGCCATTTTTGCTATATCCTTTGTTTGTAAAAATGCCATCCATGGCTGTTCGATGGGATTCGCTACGCTTTGGCGTTGCCGTTGTTCTGGTTAGTCTTTGTAATTGTAAGACAATTGCACTTTCATTATTATTATGCCACCACCAAGAAGTGGTGACACATTGTTATGGTCTCAGTTTTTTTGTGGCGCTAGTTGGTGATTGGTGGGTGGCGGGTGGAGGTTGGTGTCTGTAAAAAATTCTTAAAACTTCTTATAACTTAACAAATACTGTTTAGACTGACTGAATTTTTTTCCATATCATCTACAAGTTTTCAAAAGTTCAAATCTGACTTAACATTTAAGATTTGACCTTCAATGACCTTTTCAAAAAAGGTTAAAAAGGTCAAAAACTTATATATTCATCAGTTATAGTGGTTCAACTTTTATATTGTAGTAATAGTATATACAAATCAAAATATGTCCCCTAAAAGAAAATACAGGGTGGTAAAAAAAAACGGCAACCCTAGTTTTTCCTAATATCTTTGTCATTCTAAGGAATAACTCCCTGATATTTTACACATTTGTACATCATTCAATTTCCTACCAACCTACCATATCTCATGACCATCGGACTGATAGTCACAATATTACTGCATTTTAAGCAACATACCCCAGATGGCCACTTTCGGGCTGTCTGAGCTGGTCTGTTATCCAAATGAACTCCATTTTCAACTTGATGCACTGGTAAACTGTAACAATTATGTATTCTTGGGGAGCCAAGCACTTTATGAAGTAGTGGAGAGGCACCTTCACACAGACAGATGCACAGTTTAGTGTGTTCTCAGAAGATTGGGTCCTTTACCTTTGATGATGCTAACAGATATGCAATAACTGTCAACATCAAAGTCAAAGTCCATGATTCCCATGGAGTTCTTGGGGACTTTAGGTGAACCCAGGGGGTTGAAAGGCAGCAACAGTGGTTCCAACAAGACAGAACCATACCCCATACACCAAATGATGCACAATATTGGCTTGGGGACCACTTCAATGACCACTTTATCAGCAGTACAACAGACAATGAATGGGCACCCCATAGTACAGATATAGCCCCATTTAATCTTTACCAGTGGGGATACCCAAAAGATAGAGTGTAGGGTAATAACACCAGAAAGACATTTGACCTCAAAATTAAGATCACATGTGTCATTCAGGCCATACTTGCTGAGGAATGCTGTTATGTCATTGACAGGTTTGGAAAACATGTGCAGGTTTGCCTACAGCACGATATTGGAGAACTGGGACATCTTGTTTAAAGTGCTGTAACATTGCGACTATCTATCCAATTTTCATAAAATAACACAGTCTAGTATGAAATTGAATGATGTACATGTGTGCCAAATATCAGGGCAAAATATCCAAAAATGACAAAGATATGAGGAAAAATTAGGGTTGCCGTTTTTTTTACCACCCTGTATTATCTTTCCAATATACATAAGAAAGGATATTTCACTTATTGTGATTTTATAACATGGAGCCTAGGGGAAATCTCCCCACCTAAAAATCACATTTTTAAAGTTGATAAACCCTTTTTTAAAAGCACATTTCTATAAGCAATTTTACATGAAGATTTCAAATATGACATCTGAATTTTGAATTTTTAATGACGTAAATCAAGATTATTTTTAATCACATCTAGTCCGTTGTGTCGCATTTATTGGAGTATCATACATATTATTTATTGTCTGAATCTGATCATATTGGCTGATTTCATTTGTTGTGTGATCAATTTGGTGCTACTATGTCTTAGCATATGCGGCTCATTTTGTATACAACCTTTTGTATTTCCAGCCTGACAATCCAGTGGTCCCAGGGCCGCATCTTTTGAAAAATCGGAGGAAATCAGGCTCAAAGAGACTTTCTGGAGGTTTATCTCCCTCAAAGCGAAGATCCTTAACAACTGTGAAGGAAAACCAATGTGCAAGTCCTTTATCAACTGTCAATCAAAATACAATTGTTCCTAATTAGGGAGGGGTTTATCTAAAACATATGTTGTTGTTGTAAAAGGACATGACAGTTCACTGAAGAGACTATTGACTATTGCAATTAAAGGGACATTCCTCACATCATTTTAAGAGTATTCATCAATTGGACGAGAGACCATTGCAATTAATGAGTCACTCATATTATTTAAGAGTATATCATCACTTATTTGATAGATTGGTGATTATTAGAAATTGATCTCTGTATTATCTTGATCATTTCTACTACTCCTAAAGTAACTGTGGAATGGTTAATAGAATCTTGATGATTTAGTTTCACAAAAATGAATTTGAATTGTATGGTGCTGTGGAATTTCAAGATTTTAATATCAAACAAGAGTGAAAACTATTTTAGTAAATTGGTTACTCTGCTCAAATATCAACTCAGTTTAAAACAATTTTAAAATGTAAAATCATGTTTTACAATTTGGTGTTTTATATATATTTGTATATAAGTGTAAATAAAATATGTTTTATGGAATAAGAACAATTGTTTCATGTTTTAACAATAAGTATGTACAAGGAGTATTGCTTTCTTCAAAAGATCTTATTTTTATCAACAATTTTGTTCAAAATTTTATTTTCCATTGGTCGGCAAATTGTTTAATTATCCCACCTAATGCCATGTCATGATGATGATTCATGCCATCTGGATGAAGAATCTCTTGAGAAGGAATGGCCACGCAATTCAAAGTGGCTGCCATTTTTCATGAAAATATATAATCTTTGGCAACTCAAATACCAGCTAATGGATTTGGTTCATGTGCCTATACCTCGACAAAGGAGCTTTAATCAATAAGAGAATATTAAGGTGGCCACTAAATTTTAAAATGTCCACCATTTTTTGTGAAGACATAATCTTTTCGATAACTCAAATACTTATGGACAGATTTGGTTCAAGTGCCTAGGGACAAACTGACAAAGAAGCTTTGCTCAAGAAGACATTTTCAAAATGGCTGCCATTTTTTGTAAAAAACAATTTTTCATAACTCAAATACCAGTGGACAGATATGGTTCAAATTTTAAGAATGAATTTCAAAATGGCTGCAAATTTTGTAAAAAAAACGTATCTGCTACTCTGTGGAGTTGTTTGCTATTCAATATGTAATATCCATGCTCCATGTGGTGAAATTCTTCAAACTGGTTACAAAACATCCGTTTTAGCAACAAAATATCACAGATTTTCCCATGATCTCCGAGATGAAGGCATAATATTCTCATGGATATGGGATAACACTTTTGGGGTTTGTATATGAGTTTTATCCTTCGAGATGAAATAATATCTCCTCTGTACAAGGTGTCAAGAAACAATGGCACCATCATGCACAAATATTTAGTAGGTGCTTTCTGAAGACCTTCAAAGAGACATTTTGGAAGGGAAGCCATATGATAAGAACTGTATGATTTAATAGGAGTCTCGTTTTATGAATTAGACAAACAGATTGTCTCATAACAATAGCTCACCTCACTAATGTGAGCTAAAAAACTACTATACATATTTTGTAAATCATAAAATTAGATTCCAATTTTATTAACTGTGGTAAAAACATTTACAGTTTACATTCACAGAAAACCATCATTAAACTTTTAAGTATGTCACCCCAAAAAGATAATAAAATATGAGATTCAACATTTGAGCTGCAGTATGGCAATTTACCAGAAAAGTGGATAAACTGTCCATAACATTTCGAACACTCTTCACTAATGAACTAGAAAAGGTGTAAGAATTTCAGTTAGAATTAAATCTCAACTACATTTTTTCTTCCACTTCAAAAGATTTTTGTTTGTATTTTCTACAATAGTCCTCTAGTTTTTCACATATTTAGTTGAATGGTGTGAGCGATCTGAGACTATAATAATAATTAGTTATTGTCTACTTATAGCAAACTATTTCTCACTGGCTCTTGTATTAAAGGCCCCATGTAAAGTTTAAACCACTTTGGCTTATACTGTAGTCTTACCTAATGTTATCAAAGTGTGATATGTGAAACTTTTTTTTTAAATTTCAAAAAGTGGTTTTTGATAGACTTTTTGTTCCAAAATTTGTGAATTTATTTAAAACCAACTTTTAGAGGTCACTCATATCTTCTAATTAGCCACAATTCATACCAATGCATAGCATTCATCCTCCCATGATTTTTGCCGAAAAAATTAAGAAAATCGGTTGATAAACAAGCGAGAAATGAACTTATCAGTGCATGAAAATGGTTCTGAGAAAAATGCATTTCAAAATTTTAGTTCTCATAGAAGCCAATGGTACAATGATATCTAAAACATAATTTATTCTTCCTTTTAACCTGGTTAGACAATCAACATTGGTTTTTTATGAAACTCTAGCATATTTAGAAAAGATTGACATTGAAAAAAAAAATTTAATTTTTTTCAAAAAGTTTTTGTTACCTTAGTGACATCACTAATGTTTCAAAATATTTTTGATATGCTAAAACATTGAAGTGGCCCATTAAATATGGCATTTTATTATTGAAATAGTGTGTCCTTTGTTCAATCTTTGCATTGGTGTTAAAAAGATAATCTTTTTTGAAATGCATTAAGAAATATTTGATGATTAAGAAATTTCAACTTTTTTGAAAAATGGCGGGAAATTTGAATATTTGAGAAATGAAATGCTCACAACTTTTTTTCAAAATTTTTTTTTTGTTCAAAAATCTCTAAAATCACCTTTTAAGTCCTGATAAATAGTAAATGAATGATAAAAAAATATTTTCAAACTTTAGACAGTGACTTTAAGTGAATAATGCCTTCAATTGCACAAATCCTCATATCAAAGATATCCCATGGTGCATTTTCACATGCTATAACCTTTTTCCAATATATCCAATATAGAATATTTGCAATAGTTAACAACATATCCAACAGCTAAGCAAACATATGCAAATGTTAACATAATATATCAAACATTTAACCATATATATCCAATGATTAACATATTCAATAGTAACATAATATATACAATAGTTGACCTAATACGACAGGTGATGGTCGGGATCACCTGATCATTTGTTTTTGAGGCTATGTTTTCATTTTAACCCAGTGTACAGATTACTCAAGCTAGGACTTTGAAAATTGGTCAGTATTTAAATTACATCCTGCCATTTAAATGTCTGAAAGGGTTTGAACAAAGGATAATGGAGCAATATAGCATCGAAGTATGGCCCATGCGATATATCCTATAGTTAACATGATGTATCTCATACTTAAGTGGGTTTGGGGTAGATATCACTCGGGAATACATATCATATCTGAGGAGCGGGCAGGATATATTGTATATGTCCCGCTCCAGGCCAAATGCGAGCAGATATAATATATCCATCCCGCTCCCGGGAATTTTTCAAAAGTTTAAAAAAGTTTAAATATCAAAAGTTTTAATTATTTAATTAAATTTTTTAAGTTTAAATGTTACAATTTCATTGTATTGAACAAAAAGAATATTACGAAAATATATTTGAAAAAGGTGGAAAAGGTTATATCTACCCTAAACCCACTCAAGTATGAGATACACCAGTTATGCACGATCGGTTTGGATACATGGAATATCCCTTGAGATATACAATACATCTTCCCTCGGTCCCTCGGGAAGATATATTGTATATCCCTCGGGATATTCCCTGTATCCAAAACCTTCCAGTGCATAACCCCTATATATCCAATTGAATGTGTTTGAGGTTTTTGTGAGCACTATACGTTTAAGTCCCAGCTGAGCGGGCAGATACTATGATCATCCTATAGTCGGTTCACAGTATTGGGATTATCAGTTATCACTATGTATTCTATTGGTAATAATCCCATCCTGAACCTATATCCAATAGTTAATATAGTAATACATCAAATAGTTAACATAATATAACCAATATAATATAATATCTGAAGGTTAACACAGTATTTTCAATAGTATAACACATGTAACACAATATATCCAATACTGAATATATCCAGTATAAATTCCCTCAATAATCTATGTATTTAAAATAAGGAAATAATCTCTTTTTTCACCAGGGTAGCCCTTCTGATGTGGAATTCTGATTGTCCACGCAACTAAAATGCAGCTTTTATTTGCCAATTAAGAATAATAGCTAAAGCATATTATACACATGGAGACAACAACATATACATATAAGGTTCCACCCTCATTCATAACAAACAATAAATTAATAAGTTAGATCCTTAGAAATATACAAAATTCCACCATAAAAATATATTAAATGCTATATCTGTAACTTTAACTGTCATGTTATATTACACAATGTTTTCAGCAGATCCCATGAAGACTCCCTTTGGTTTACGTAATCTGTGTAGCACTTTGCCCATGAGTGAATAGAGTACAGGGTCCCATGTTGCTCGATTTTTGCTATAAATGTTGAGATATATTCCTAGGACGACAATAAGGCCTGACCAGACATACCTGAAAGGCATACAACAGCATGTCAATACATGTACTTAGTGTCCCAAGACAACAAGGTAATCGCTCATGTAGAATATAAATGGATGGCAGATTTTTTTTTTTTAAATTTTCATATTAATCTATTTAAAGTATGGGTCAAACCAAGGGCCACTTTCAATGTTAAATAAAAAAGTATTTTTCAGTGAAAATTTTATTAACTTATTGTTTGTGCTTATAGTCTGTTTGTGAAACAACATATCATTAAGTCATAAAAGGATTTAGCCAGAGGCTAACATAAATATTGATAACCCACAAAGTGAAAATGTAAAGAAAAATTCACTTACTGCAGTGTAAAGGGCTTGGTGAAGAAGACAAATGATAAGATAATAGTTAGGGCCTTTCTACATGTTGTAACTGAAACAATAGAATACAGGAAATAATAAATGCTTAAGAACAAATATTGGGTCTAGATAGACTCAAAAGTCTGCTGCACCTGAATGTCATAACTGGTACATTTCTCATTCATTCTGAATTTGACATTTTTAGTTCTTTGAACATTTATGTTCTTTAAGTACATCGAGATTGGTTATATAACTGTATACCCAAGCCATCATAAACAATGTTTAGGCCACAGATGTATACGTTTTCATTTATACAGAAAAAGACCATATATGGTAATTTAGTTATATGTAACAATGACATTACCTGTAACTGCAGGTAAAGCCCCAAATGTCTTAACCAAAGTTAGGACTATGTTGACACCCATGTAGCCCATGAAGGAAAATACCAAAGCATAACCATAGGTCTTGACAGGACTCTGCAAAAATCAAAAAAATTACAAGTACATGTTAATCTAGTTCTCATATCAAGAAGTTTTATTCATAAACAGTACAAATAGACAAATGATAATATATTACACAGGATTTCTGTTAACTATAGATTTTAAACATATACAGTTATAGTGTATTCTGCTGTACAAACATAAATGTATGTGTAATGGTCAATTTATGTTTCAAGAAAAAATGTCAGTTTTTGACAATACTTCACATACCTTAAGGCAAAACATGAATGCCTCTACTAGCTGCCCTGACAATGCAAGTCCAGCAAATATATACACAAAGCCTATAGAGTATGAGTAGAGCACCTGGAAATAACAAGTATTCATACTACACATAATTATAAAGAATTGAGAATGAAGAATTATCGAAGGTCATTAAGAATGGAAATCTTGCACCAGGATGGACTATGAAGCAAGGACTTCCATCTTTATCTAACTGTTGTTGGACTTCTAAAATCCCATGATTGATTTGTGTTACCATGGGCACTTGGCAATGTTCTACCAATATGGTAAATTGTGGCAACCATGTTTTCAAATTTAATTGTGAACTTCATTCTGATGTTTTAAATATAGAAGAGGGTAGAGTATGCAAAACATTTTAATTATATGCCCATGCATTTAGTCCTTACCATTTCAGAATTGCTGCTGCTATAATGTCTCATTGCCTTCTCTTGTACATTGCCTATAACAGCATCAGCAACAAGTGCCAGGGATATGAGCAGTACACCATATGGGTCAAACGAGGGCTGAACGCTACTGTCAGCTAATGTGAATAAAATCAGACCTATACTCATACTGAAGCAGGCTGTGAAGTCAAGGTAGCCATATTTTTTACCTGAAAAATAAAAAGTATGAATTGGATTTATTTTTAAAAAAATTACTAAACAACAAGTCACTCCGATTTATCACTAAAAGCTCCTCATTTATCAAATTAATATTTGTAAAGCATTTATCAAATTAATATTTGTAAATCTAGATTTTCTTCCATTTTTTCAAAATATTGATTCACTTTTGTAGCCCTGATTTTATAAACCTTTATTTCCTCCTGGTGTTTTTTTCTAGAAATCCTGATTTTCTCAAATTATTTTAGAAAATGAACCCTGATTTTCAGAAATCATCAGACGCAGACATGCCATTTACTCTTCTTAACATTATAGATTCCCAGAAATGAATACTTTCTCCCTAAGACGATCTCAAAATATTTTGCATCACCTTGTATGAGTATTCCTCCTATAAGTACAGGTATAAGTTTACAGCACTTAAATATCACTTGTGTTGGGTAGTTGAGGTATCCTACACTACTGTTAGAGAGACCCATTGTGGCCACTGTCAGGAAGGCTATCAAAAAGTAGGTCCTCAGTGGTATTCTGAAATCGAAAATCAGAAAATATCAACAATTAAGTCTCATCCCGTGCTCCACTTTTTCACTAGACTGACCATATCTGGTGTTGGATGTTTGAAAAGTATTCTTCTTGAAATTGAGTTTAAGGTTTCAAACTAAGGTGAGGATTTTTCATTTTTAGTAAAATATAAAGAATAAAACAACTTGACCTTTTTATAAAAATAATCAATTTCATCCCATTCCAGATGTTGGGAAATGTAAATATATATATTGTCAATCAAGTGTCAAGTTTATTCTATATTCATATATTCAGAGAAAGTTAAAACTAGTAAGACATGTCTGCATTTCAGTTTCTTCTGAATCAAAACAAAACAAAACAATACTGGGATAATATTAAAAACATATTTTACAAAGGAATACTTCACCTTCTAGCCTTATCTTCTTTAAACTGCATCTCAGTGAACCCAAAGAGTGTGTAGCAAAGGAACTGTATCAGAGTCAGATACCAGCCATAAGGTCTGAAGCCTTCCAGGCGGAATATCAACTCCTGACAATTAGAAAAGGAAGTAACATGACAAAAAAATGTTACTTCTGCAATTGCACTAAAGGAAAGATATGTAATAATTCATGCATCAATTTTTTGCTAAACCCTTGAATTCTAAACAATCCTATTTCTATATTTGTTTAATTGGAATAATTCATGGATAATTCCGTACAGCCAAGCCATTTTAATTTGGATATATAAGCACAAATGCCAAAGGGAGGGTAACTAAAAACTTTAAGGAAACCCAACAAGAAAACCAAACTGTAAGTGTAAATCTGTCATAAGAAAAGTAGACCCTATATATCCCAAAACCATGATCTAACATGAAAAGAAACAATGTCTAACATCCCCCTCCCTCTCCAATCGAGAACCAATATCACAATCCAGGACCAGAACACCAAGGGACATTTCATTCATACTGAAGTCATTACATTACATGTAAGGATGTTCATTTCAGCCTCAAGGGATATCATTTCTACTAATAACAAATTTACAAGATGTCCAGTTTACTCATACTCTTTCTAATATTGATATTAGTTTTTATGAGCAAAATTAAAAAGAAATCAACAGATAGAAGAAACTTTAAGGTCTGAGTAGCTGTATATGCAAACTTAAATGAGATTTATGCAGTTTAACGAAAGGTCTGTTCTACAAAAATTAGTTGCACCAAAATCAAAATTCTGCAGTTTTATGCTGTGGCAAGGAAAAAGTAAAAGGAAATGAGCGTGCGTAATTAATAGGAACACAGCGAGTTACTTTAGACATCCAGTATTATAATTAAATGTTTCATGATTTCAAGTAATGAATAATATTGAGTCAGATAGAACATGGCAATATTACATTGAAGTTTTCAATATGAAATCAAAAGGTTAAAATAACATTATTGACGTAACTGTGTAAATCAGTTAACACATTGACGGAACAGCACTTTTAACAAAGCATTAACATGAAAATGTCATCAGCTGCCATTTGTTACAGATGCCGAATGCCAACTGCCAAACACCTACTGTCATACACCAAATACCATCCACAAAAAAGCCGGAGACTATAATAATGGTTGTGACATAAATGTAGTAATAATCACAACAAACATTTATGTTAAGATGATGTGAGAATTAAAATCGAGCTCACCTGAAAATATCCATAAACGAGAAAGAAGGCAAATACTCCAGCAACAAGAATTAAGAATTGTCCGGTTCTACTGAAATATCCCAGATCAAAGCACATTATCTTCATCTCATGGTCTCTTCCCTTTGTGCCTGCAGGCCCAGGGCCATCATGAATCTTTATCTGCACTTGTTTCGCCATAGCGTCCTCCATGGCTGTATCGGTTTTATCAGGGTGGTGACTTTGTTTGGATGTTGCTGTGTCTGTATCAAACTGTGACATATTGGATGAGCTAGCTCTCGATGCAAGCTGTGAGTATCTATCTAAACGGTGATCTGAAGCTGACTGGTACATCATAGGCACATATGTAGGAAGTATCGAACAAAAGGATTCTGCGTCAGCTGGTGGATTTGATTAACATTGTTGGCAACTAGGCTACAAATAAAATGATAGAAATTTAACAAGTGTAATCAATACAGAAATGTATATTACATGCTGTCATCAATCAATAGGTCATGTACATAATGTAAAATACACAGCCAATCGCAACAGTACTGTAAAGTACCATTTTGACTATGGTACTGTGTGGTACCATAAAATGTGGTAGAAACAAGGAGGTAGAAACAAGGACTATACAATACAAAAATTGGGGGCTATTAGAAATCAATTATTTATAGCTCTCATATGCTGACATAATGAGAACTTGGAGAGGCCAATCAACTCTAACTCCCCTCCATAAGTTTGGCAACCTTAGCTCCCCCATTGAACTACGTGTTAAAGCCTCTTTACGTTTGAATTTTTATTTACTTAACCGGCGATGAAATAACTTACAATATTGATGGAAATGTAACTTGACTTTATATCCAATACCTCCAAATTTTCTCAATTTTTTCCTCAATTACAATTGATGATTTGATGAATTTTTGAAAATCATCATTCCCATGTAATCCAATGGGAAATTGAGGGTTCGGGGCAAATCAGAAATCAGGATATCTTTTCAGTAAATGATTCAGCAAAAAATATTTTTATATAGAAAATTGAATTGTCTAACTTTTTTGTACACTACAGTAAAATTTAAATGTTTGGAACTACTTTGAATTTAAAAAATAAGCAATCAAAGGACCATATTGAAACAGTATATATAAAAATAGAAACATTTATACAGTGCTGATATAAAATAATAAAGGGTGCGTTTTCAAACTAAAGAGAGTGCTCCTACCAAAATGAATTTGCCTACATATCCCTGAGACTCTTATCTGATAGATGGAATGCACAAATAAAACAAAAGTTTTGCTATTATAGGTAAAAAGTTTTTACTTAAAATTTCGAAGTGATTTTACCCGTTAATTCTGTCATTGGTCCGTCATTTTTGGGGAAGTTACACTGAAACGCAAACTCCATGAAACAAACGACTTATCAATTAATTTGTATCAGCACTGTACATGTCCTAACTTTTGTATATTTTAATTGTTTTGTAGTTTAGCTATCGTATCTGTGGCCTCTTATATTTTGATACTTCTCTGCCATGTTATTTTCGGAAAAATTAACATGGCTGAAACTCCCTAAATTACAAAAAGCCATATCTTTACTGCATATTATACAACCATCTGAAATATACAAAAGTTAGGACAAGTACATATGTTTCTATTTTTTTATATACTGTTGCAATATAGTCATTTGATTGCTTATTTTTTAAATTCAAAGTAGTTCCAAACATTTTACTGTACAGTTGGTGACATAAAGAATTACAAAAGCTATGGAAATTACATGCTGTCGCACATGTTATAAATTCTTACCTCAGTGTATTCAGTGCTCTATTTTCGATTACGCCGCAATGTGGATTGGCTCCCAGAATGCAACATGACACGTGTCAGCTTTCAAAATGCCGTTCCCCCATTTTGAAATCTGTCACGAGTAAATAAGGTTACCTGATGTTGCATTCTGGGAGTCAATCCTCCTTGGATCACAAACATGGCGATTCATGAAAACATTCGTTCGGTTTGGTAGGGATCGTCGATTTATCCATCATTTGCAGGTATGAAGCTTTGGATTCATTTATTGTGCTACTAAAGTGAATGGGAATTATTTTTCTACCACTTGGGAGAGTTTGAGACACGAAACTTAGAATTTAGCTCATTGTGACAACTTTTGAGGGTTGAGATTTATTTTTGTACCCCAATTGATGAATACTAAAGTTACAGCGCTTCGTGATAGGAAATATCAGCAACCTGGTACCTTACATGGACATACTATTTCCATTAGTTTATATGCGTGTACAGAAATAACCGCTTTAGTGGTGTATTACTTGATAAGCATTCAAAATGTGTAAAACTGAGAAATATTGTACCTGAACGTCAGCAAATTGGGGGGAGTAACCTGCAGATAACTTTCCTGATAAAGCAGTGATGCTGATTCAACAGGAGATATAATTGACATATGTCATCAAAATGAATAAAGTTGACATAAATTTTATATGTATCATACTAATATGTAACTTTCACAGAGATATGGCCTTCTTGTATTCAAATGTAAATGAATCTGAAAAGTTAAATCAGCGAGTTATCCGTATTTCTCTTCGATAATCAAAGATGGCTGCGCCCATGACTGGTTTTCACCAAATAAGAAAAGATCTTACAGTGAGTATTCTGCGCACTTTAACGTCAATCAAGTGATGCAGATATTGTTCATATAAATAATTTATGAATCTAGCTGGAATTTCATGTTGTATTGTTGAAGCCAATACAATAATTGAACCAGAGTAGGATTTATTTGAATATTTTGCTTTTTTATTTTTATTTTTTTTATTCTTAGGTTACATTTGGCTAAAAACACATCATACTGTATGGTATTACATACCCAATCGAAGCATTTGTATTAAAGTCAATGGAGCTGAAGGTCGGCTATATATTCCTGTATAGCCGCCAAACCTTTTACCATGACAATCTTATGACATCACCGGGACGTCATGTTTCATTTCTTCCTAATTTCACTCGCACACAGACACGTGGCGTCATTGATATAACGTAGCCATGATATAAAAGTATGTAATACAACAGTTATTTCCATATCATTGAATATATGCCTTCGGTCTGTCGTAATATAACCCTCGCAAGCTCGGGCTATATTGGTGACAGACCTCAGGCATATGTTCAATGATAGGGACATAACTGCTAAATACAGGTCACTTTTGGATTGAAAGAGGTTAAACATCATGTCAGGGGGGAACATTGGTTCACCTTTAGAGTCCATTTCACTGCTTTATTGCGTCAGTAGAACGGCAAAAATAAGAAATTGGGAGACCATTGTGCAATAATATATGGAAAAGTATATTCATAATGTACATGAATGACATTAGTATATTTCAGATTTTTTAGTTTTTTGTGCAATAAGCCTGTGCCGTCTTGTAATTTGAAGAATTTCAGCCATGTTAATCTTATTGAAAATAACATGGCAGAGAAGCATCCAAATATAAGAGGCCACACACTTTATAAGCCAAACTAGAAGCAATCCAAGATATAAAAATGTCTATTCATTCAATAGGAATATATTTAAACAGTGAAATGGACTCTAGCTGCCCTGTCAACCCCTGCCCTGTCAACCCTCATGCATTAGGCGTGATTGTCACGCATTTGCTGGAAAAATAGAAATCACGCATCAATTTAGCGTGTATGATCAAATAATAAGCAAATCATGCATTTTGTTGAAATTTTTAAAAATCTTTTTTTGTGAAATGCTGATACGGTAAAATACCGAATGGTGAAAAAAAGCTAACGCATTCCATTCGGTCTCTGCACGCGATTGCCGTACAGTAATAAAAAATTTAGGTGTCCAAAATCTACCAGTGTTCACTGAAGCTGTCCAAAGTTTGAAGAAAAGTGTTCAACATTTGGAAGTCACTCATGTTAGACGGTTCCAAGTTGACAGCCCTGCAACCCTCACGCATATACTCAAATCGCTTATTCTGGGAACCAGTTTGTTACATATATTCGACAATCAAGCAAATACAGATTGGTGTTTTACAAATATTTCACGTGCTTTTATTTTCTTACTGAGAACATAACATAGTCGATATAATATAATAGAATGATTTCGCTAAAGCGGTCTGGGGAAACTATTACTGACAGATAGTGACATCTTTAAATGAATCATTAATTATTAACATACATGACACAGTTCATATGGTTAAAATTACGAAATGATGTGATGTAACCATGTGTCTACTTACCAGTTTGTTCTATGTCATCCATCGGACTAGGTAACATTGTGGAACTCAGCCAAACACGACACTGAAGGCAGTATTCTGAAGTTATAAAATCTAAATCTAAATTATTTCCCATAGTCCCTTGGAGATTTCCGGAATTGAACAAAGTTGCGAACGTTGCAATCTTTCAACTTTAGCTCATTGTTTTTCACCACTTTATGTGTTGCGTTTCAATTTACTTATTTCAGTGCACCATTTCAGGTCTTTATGATTCATAAAATTAATAAGTTTCCTAGCGTAATATTTTGAAAAAAGTTGATCTTAAATAGTCAGTAGCTTCAGGGGCCCTTCCTACAATATTTGGCATCGCTATCTTAATGGAATATTTTCTTTTATATTCAGCAGCAGATGTCCGAAAATCATTTTCTAATAAATTAATATCTTTCTTTGAAGCCATGGTTGAGTGACACGTCACAAGTCACGTGATATCAACTAGTAACTAAAGACACGTGATCAGACATGTGAGTGGCAAAATGGATGATATAAATTTTAAAGATTTCGGCTAAGATCAATATCGATATGTTGTTGCCTGCATTGTCGTGTTTGGCTGAGTTCCACAATTCACATTGTCCGATGGATAGCATAGAACATACTGGTAAGTAGATTACCTGGTTACATCACATCATTTCGTTATTTTATCCATTTGAACTGGTTCCCAGAATAAGCGATTTGAGTTTAGGCAAGATTTTCATGCATTTGCTGGAAAAATAGATGATAAGATGTCACACAAATCATGCATTATGTTGATATTTAAAAAAATCTGATTTTTTAAATAGCGATACGGTAAAAACAGAATGCCAAAAACGAACGCATTTCGTATTTTTCACACAATTCTGAATATACCATGCATTTTTTTCGTAATATACATATATTTTTCACGCATGTGCTTCGAAATTTTTTCCAAATCATATGTAATATTGTCAGTTGGCAAAAAATGTTTTGTCTTCTATAAGAAAAGTTGAAAGCCCATGGTAAAGTTCAATGGGTAACGGCCAGTTGATTCACTTCTGTTAGAAAGGAGATTAAAGAAGACAAGATAGGCTTTCCAATAGTGAGTTGAGCATTGTATATGCGGCTAATAACTTCAAATCATGAAAATATGTGTTTGCTAATTTTTCGGAAAATCTTCGGTACAATGCACATTGGTATTATGGCATTCGGAATAATGCCTTTCAGGACAATGCGCATCAGTTTAATGGGTTTCGGTACAATGTTCGTCAGTATATTGGGTTTCAATATAATGTGCTGACCCAAAATCACCTGGTATAAAGGTATAAAATTACCTCACATTTATGGGTGTAATTGGTAAATTGCTTTATATTAATATATATATCTTTTATTGACTCTTTTAGATGCCATATCATGATATATTAGTCATATTTAATCTGAAGGCCGTTTTAATTTAGTGGAATGATACAAACACCAAATTAAGTGTCTGCCAGTTTCTTGAAAATATAGCCCAGACCTTATAAGTCTCACAGAGAATGTTTTCAATATTTTGATTGCTACCCCATTTTTATAACATTTTAGCTCATGTATGAAGGTAAAACCTCCCAGTCTCACCTTCGACTATCCTCTAAATAACGTCTTTATAAACAGGTGGGCACCAGTGAGTGATTAGGTGATGTAAAACAGCTTCATCCATCAATTTACCATTTGCCAGATATGTTTACTGTCTCAATTTCATAATTGTAGGCGGAACTAGACTTTCGGAAATTGGAAAATAAATTCTCTGAATCTTATTGACAACTTGGGTTCACTTAATGATGCTATTGTCACGTGGTGGGAACTCCCTTTGATGATGGAATGTTTAAATCGCTGACGGTTTATTGTTTTGTTGATTTTCTCAATATATCAGTAATGTTGTGCCCATAGGTTCAGGGTCTCAAGATTGTCTAAGGTACGCAGCATATTGTATAAGCAATCATAATTATAATTCATTCCAGAAAGACATTGCAGCATGCCTGGAAACTGGATCCATAGATGGCTTAGTGGCAGTATTCCCAAAGATTGACGCAAGGTAAGATAATGTTGTTCATTCATTTATCTTCATTTGTTTCACTTCATATTTATTTTCATATCTGTTGTGTGATACAGAAAGATTCAATAAGTAATAGCCCAGGACATTAATGTCATCCATTAACAGTCAAACTCACATTGAATCGAAATATACATTTACTGAATACAGTCAGCTCAGCATAATGAATCAATGTGTCCATTACGAAAGTTAATTTCTGTCTACATCTAATGTTTCAGTGAGCCTGAAAAGAAAAATGTTGTTGATCAATGTTTCAAAGATGCCCTCAAACAGCAAATTGTAAGTATATATATAAACATAGTGCAGTAGTACTTAGTGTTAGTGTAATATAAGGATTATTTGATAGTTATTTTATCTTGAATCCTGTGTTCCTATAAATGCAAAAATTGAACAACTTTTATTTGCATTATATTGAAACTATTAATTCATGTGATTCTTTTTCCAGCATGATAAAGCTGAGGCTGATGTCTATATTAACACAGTGCAGTTGGGTCTTAATGCAGCAAAAAATGGTAACTAATTTTTTGTATGAGCTAGACCTGCTATTAGCTGGAGATTAATAGCTTGAGACTTGTAGCTTGAGATTGGTAGCTCTAGACAAGCATCTAGAGACTGGTAGATAGTTAATGATTTGTAGCTAGGGATTAAAGTAACAAGAGACCAGTAGCTAGGGACAAGTGGCCAGAAACATAGTTTAAGATGGAATATGATTCTCTAATTTCTGCAATGAACGTAACTCTGTGATGTCATTACATACTGTTTACTGTTTCTGTATGTTTTGTTTGTCACATATGTACATTTGTACTATTCTTCTGGTCTAGGCACAAGCCCTTGTAAGCCCCCCCCCCTTACATACCTCCTCGCAAGGAGTGTTGTGTTTTGAAGAAGATAAAGGGGTGAGGTTTTCAGTCTTGGGGCAAGACTACTATTCTCTGTGCATTTTATTACAGATATGTCGCTGACCTCAACGCCATTTGTGATGCTGATGGATGCATTTGACACTCTCACGCTAGATGTTTGTCAACAAGTATTTGTCTTTGTCGAAGAAAATGTCACAACTTGGAAATCTGTGAGTACCCTAAAACTAAAGTTTATGTACAATTACATGTCCACGCGGTAGTATCTCTTCGGGACGTATCGAAACCACTCCGTCCCGAAAAAACCGTTAATTTGAATTTAAAACTTACCCCAGTGTTTGAAAATCAAGGATTGTGAGTCTCACACTTCACCGTTTTTCTTCAAACTTGTTCCGTACAAAGCTTCACAGAAATACCTTTCAGTCGATACATTGTTTTCGTGTACAAAGTACCCCGTTTTAGCGGCGTTTTGGTCCCCAGCTGCGAGATAAAGCAAATTTTCATAACTTTCAACTGTAAGTCAAGTTATCTCGCCAGTCTTTTACCCATTCTCGCTCATAATTTCAGAATGGACTCCCATTACAACCTTCCATCGCTACGTTTTGATTTTTGGGCATCAAACGCAGCAGTTTCTAAATCATCCACACATCTCTTAAAATTTGACTAATACGTCCCGTCACCTTCCACTACGCCCCGCCGAGTCTATGACTACAAACGTGGAGTTGTATTCTAAAACGTGGTTTTAAACATATACAGTTACTACTTAAATGATAATAACACTATTTAATGCTTAATTCTATGAAGAATGTTTTTATAGTTTTTAATATTCTATCGTCCAGCGTATTCTCTCCGAATTATTGATCTGGCTATGAATTTTATGCACTAAACATAAACATGTAATACGTATCAGAATATTATATCACAAAGAACATTTTGTCATGACTATACATATTTTCTAAGTTCATCATCTTGCCACAGTGTAAATGTACTGTATGACATCCAAGGCAAAGTACTAACAAAGCCGGTGTGAAAGAAATTATGGTCCCCTGGGGATTATGGTCCCCTTTCCTAACGGCCCTTTCTGGCCCTGATTGTGTATAAATAATAAGGAAAATAATTGTAATCAGGTCACCATATAAATCAATAGAGACTAGGACCATAATTTGATAGGACCACCTACGCTTTTACACCTGTGTTTTAGGGAGATTTTGGACCACCCTATTATAGGTATATTGAAAATGGACAAGAATGGGTAAATCTTAAAACACAATCCGATTGGTATTTAGAATCGACAATGGCAACCTACAAACGGACACATCGATGGACAAATTGTTTTAGAATGCAAGTCTACGTGTATAGTGATAGACTCGGCGGGGCGTAGTGGAAGATGACGGGACGTATTGGTCAAATTTGAAGAGATGTGTGGATGATTTAGAAACTGCTGCGTTTGATGCCCAAAAATCAAGACGTAGCGATGGAAGGTTGTAATGGGAGTCCATTCTGAAATTATGGGCGAGAATGGGTAAAAGACTGGCGAGATAACTTGACTTACAGTTGAAAGTTATGAAAATTTGCTTTATCTCGCAGCTGGGGACCAAAACGCCGCTAAAACGAGGTACTTTGTACACGAAAACAATGTATCGACTGAAAGGTATTTCTGTGAAGCTTTGTACGGAACAAGTTTGAAGAAAAACGGTGAAGTGTGAGACTCACAATCCTTGATTTTCAAACACTGGGGTAGATTTTAAATTCAAATTAACGGTTTTTCGGGACGGAGTGGTTTCGATACGTCCCGAAGAGATACTACCGCGTGATGTCATAGGTACAATGTTTATGTATTTGTTATTGTACAAGTAAACATTGAAAAATTCATGTTGAACATTATTGTGTAATTATTGATATGTTATACTTAGGGGACATACCTAAATATGAAGACATGTTTGACATGTTGCTATTGTTTGGAATAATAAAATAATCATTATTTCACCCTAAAACTACCATTATTCCAACAATCATGGTCAGGGAAAAATCAGATTTGTCAGGAAATTGTCAGGGAAAGGAGGACAGAAAGTATCTCAACCGATTTCAGACAGTCATATGTTCGATTTTGGCTATTTTCTGAGGATTTAAAATTTTCAGGAACGCAATTTGTGAAATATAACCTGATGCAAGTGATATTATTATGCAAATTATATTAATATGCAAGTGATATTGTTACACAAATCAAGTGATATTGTTATGTAAGTGATAATTTAATGTTTCAGAGTAATTTTAGTGAATTAAATTGAAAAATGGAAATTTTCATATTTTTAGACTCAGTTATACAATGCTGGAAAGAACTATCTGCTCAGAATGTGCAATGGTATGTATAACATGTATCTTGAAGTCTTAATAATTTAGATACTATGAGGTTATATAATGGTTCATTCTGTATATCGTGTTTATACTCGAGTGAGTATATAATATATTCACAAGTGAGCGTAGCGAACGAGTGAATATATTATATACTCACTCGAGTATAAACACGATATACAGATTGAACCATTATATAATCTTATTATGCCACTCTAAGTTCAATTATAGTTGATTCAAACACAATCATAACAATTATAAAAACCATAAAAATATCCCGTAGCCAACTCAGTAATGCCAATGTTGATCTCGATCCATTTATGACGTCACTTGATTCTTGCAAATCATGTGGGAACCATTTATGACGTCACTTGATTCTAGGAAATCATGTGTAACAAACCATACACCTCGTTCTTCGGTCAATATTCATTAGTTCCCAGAATGCACTTCTACAGTGGTATACGCTGGAGTGTATACGGTGGAGTGTATACGATGACGATATACCACTCTCCACTGTATATCGTTGTTATAGACCCATGTTATACAACTGTAATTGGACTTAGAGTGGTATAATTATCGTTATATCACTTTTTATAAACCCAAACACTCCCCATAAACCAGTAAAATCATCTTGCATATTTTTAGATCTGCTACGAAGACTCTCTAAGTCTCAAAACACTGTGTTCTGTGGGCGTATTCAATTATTTCTCGCTCAACTGTTCCCGCTAGATGAGAAATCTGGTCTGAATCTCACCAGTCAATTTAATCTGGAGAATGTTACAATGTACAGCCATAGTGCTGAGGACTCTATACTATCAAAGGTAGGTAGTCTTAAATGTTTTTGGTTTTGGTGTACTGCTGTTAACTGTACAAAGAAACTTACAATGGTCTACTATATATTCAAAGTTTCAATATGGCCATCTCAAGAGTATGCATTGGAGAAAAGGGTATTATAAATCATACATAATTTCTCAATCTTGGAATTATCTGGAAAGACTATAACGTAACAATGTTTAATAATGAACAGGCAGAATTAACAATTGAATGTTTGTAACAAAAGGATGACAAGAAACTTAAAGATGGGGAAGAACCCATGGAAGAAGGGGAGATGTCTGATCTAGAACGTTCCATCCCTATTGACTACAACTTGTACAAGAAATTCTGGTCGCTACAAGACTATTTCAGAAAACCTACCCAGTGTTATGAGAAAGTTGCATGGCTCACTTTCACAAAGGTGAGAACAATATTGAGTATTGGGATATGCTAATGAAATGAAATAGATCTTTCAGAACTGTTGAAAAACATTTGATATTGTAAATGTACAAAAAGCAAATTTTACATATAGTCACATGATCTCCTTCAGTAATTGAGTCGCAAAATAAAAACATCAACTGTTTATTCAATATATTACAATATTATTATGTCTTAATTGTCATATTTTTCTATATTCTCCTATTTCTAAATAAAATTGTGTATTCTACTATTGCTAAATGAAATTGTGTATTCTCCAATTGCTAAATCAAATTGTGTATTCTCCAATTGCTAAATCAATCTGTGTATTCTCCTATACTATTGCTTGATGAAATTGTGAATTCACTTATTGCTAAATGAAATTGTGTATTCTCCTATTACTAAATACAAAGATTATGTATTCTTCTATTACTTAATGCAATAGACCATTATCACCATTGCTAAAAACAATTATGTTTTCTCCTTTTGATCAGTACAATTACATATTCTCCTAATGTTAAATACGACTATCTGTTACAGAATGCCAAGGAGTGCTTGCAGACCTTCCAAAGTTCCAAACTTGATGATCTCAAATTGTCCAAGAAGAAACAATCAAAACAACTGCAAGAAAAACAAAACAAGTCAACCAAACACCAAGCTTACTTTGCCAAATATCTCACCAGTGAAAAAGTAAGGGATTATATATCGAATGAGATTAACTTTGTGGTTGGAGTGCATTGTTCTTTTAAATGTGATTGTTTTAAAAGCTCGTACTTTGTGCCAATCCTATTTGAATTGTTATATTTCATTTGGTGAAAAATAGATATCACTCAGAATTGTACATTTGTATTTATTAAAATATGCAAATACTTATCATTTTTCTGCTTTTAGCTCTTAGACCTCCAGCTAAGTGATAGTAACTTCAGAAGATATGTCCTGGTGCAATTCCTTATACTTTTCCAGTACCTCAATGCACAGGTGAAGTTTAAGAGGTAAGTTGTACCTCAATACGTATGTTAAGTTTAAGAGGTATGTTATTCCTCAATCAATAGGCGAACTTCACTATCAGATGACCACAGACCAATCTCAATGAATGAACCAAGCCTGCTTTTATTTCAGTGCTGCTCTGACATTATCAGATGACCAGCAGACATGGATCAAAGAAAACACAGAGAAGATCTACCAATTGCTGAAGGAAACACCACCAGATGGCGACAAGTTTGCTGCCAATATTCAGGTAATGATATACAGGCTCTCAATAATTGACTTCTGTGCTTACTAGAGTGACACACTAGGAAGAAATCAGATTCATGCACAAGTTATGCACAAAATCTTTTGAGAGAAATGAAACCTTGTCACAAAACATATTAAACTGCTATTAAAAAAGGGAAGAGTGCAATATTAGCTGCAGATTGGTAACATGAACATAATAGTCTCCATTGAACAGACATCACAGAATTATGTTTCTGTGACCCACATTTTAATTTTGCATAATTTAGATTCCTAGAAATGGGACATCATCACATAATTTATGCATAATTTACACTTCTCTCAAATAATATCTCATTTGATGTTTCACTGTTTCAGCATCTTCATAATTATCACGGAAATAATGTCTAAACTTAACTGCTCAGGCCTATTTTTGTTGTATTATATCTAATATACCACTGTTGGGAAATGCTTTCTCCACTTGTACTTTAAGGGATGTCCTGCTTTCTGTAAAATCCAAGTGTCTCATTCACCTCATATCTACTGAAATGTTTCTGTTGTCTCATTTCAGCACGTCTTCAAGAGAGAGGAAAACTGGAACACTTGGAAAAATGAAGGATGTCCAAGTTTTGTTAAAAATCCACCAAGTGAGGCAGATGTAAAAAAGTTGCAAAGGTATATGTCTTGTATCACTTTATTTTATAGCATTTCTTAGATAATTTATAGGGTGATACTTAGTTAGGCTAAATAACTATTAGTAAGCCAGACATCAGCACAGTATTGTATATTATGGACCATTGAATAGATTTGTTTCATTTTCTGATTCAAACATCTTTACAGACCCAAGAAGCGCAGTATAGGAGATGACCTCAAGGCCAGTGGTGGTAAGATCATCAAAATGGGCAGTGCAGAGCTGACAAGACTGTGGAATTTACAGCCAGATAACATGGAAGCCTGCAAGTCAGAAAAGCGGTACTTCATTTTATTTTTACATATTACAAGGATCAATTGCTAAATAAGTGTTGGCCCAGAGCTAGTTAGCTTTGATCTGGGCCAGCTGGGTTACTGAGCAAATAGGGTGTTATTCAAATTTGACGACTAGTAGTTGTTTCGAAATTCTTTTGACATTCTGAATTAATTAATCTTAGAGGCTAAACAAGAACTTTTCTTTCAGTTATTCACATAACACAAAACTACTAGGCATAATACATGTATATTAAATATATTGATCTTGGTAATTTTGTCTGCATTGTTTGAATGAAGGTCCTGTTAATATACTTGCAGGCTGTTCCTGCCCTCATTAGAAACATTCTTCGCTGATGCCATTGAACAGTGTGATCCTGAGGCAATGGTGGAGGATGAGTACAAGTAAGGCACCATATCTGTGTTTTGCATTACAGTTTCTGTTTTGAATAGCAGATGAGTGGTAATAAAATAGGTGGTACACGGAAATCATGTTTTTAAATTTCGTTTTCTTCTGTAACTCGGAAAAGAAAATTTTAAGTGGAAGTTAAGAAAAACAGGATAAACTGGATTAAGAATATGTTTGTATATTTTACAGTGCTTTTCTTTGTAATTTAGATTGGTTAGGAAACAAAATTACGCCTGGAAATCAATTCGCCTGCTTGCACGGAAAAGTCCTCACTTTTTCTCATCAGCATCTGCGATGTTGAAAGCTCTACCCACGTATCTGGAGGGAATTCTTGCCAAAATGGCCAAGGAGATGCCTGTGAGTAACCAAGAGCTTACCTTGGAATTGATAGAATAATAAAGATTTAAGATAGGTCTGAGAGCAGATAGCTCTGAGAGAAATTGAATAATGTTTGAGATGAAATGCTTAAGAAGTACACCAGCATTTATTGAAATCATTTCATACATATGTTTATAAATTCGTTCTTCTTTGAGAATCAATCTGGTTAATTCTCATCTCCAGGGATTCCAAGAGGCTGCCAGTAATGGAGCACCAGGTGTGAAAGCTGAAGATGAAAGCAACATTGAGGATATAGCACCTGAAGACAATGATATTCAACAAGAGGAGACAGGTATGTCTGTTTGCAAAGCAATTTTGGCATATTTTAAGTGTCTTCCTTTGACTTAAAAAGAAAAGAAGAAAGGTACATGAAAATTGCTTTTTTAATAAGGTGGTTTGATATTCTGGAAACTGTATAATACCAGTGTATACTGTAGAATAACTTTGTCTATTTTAGCTGTAAAGGAGGAAGCCTCAGAGAAAGTAACTGAAGAGCTTGCCCAGAAGATAGCAGAGAGACTGGGGACAGATTGGAAACCTCTAGCTACAGAACTGAACATCGCTGAGGAAAATCTAGATTCGCTCTCTAAAGACTCCCCAGATGTGAAGAATAGATGTATTGATTGTATCTCTCTTTGGATTGTAAGTAGCAGTAGCACATCATTGTATGTATGTAGTGACATCATTCATTGTATGTATGTAGTGACATCATTCATTGTATGTATGTAGTGACATCATTCATTGTATGTATGTAGTGACATCATTCATTGTATGTATGTAGTGACATCATTCATTGTATCGTGTGTAGTGACATCATTCCTTGTATCATGTGTAGTGACATCATTCATTGTATGTAGCTTTGTTAGAGGTATACAATCTACACAGTCTCTGTTATTGTTGTGTAAACCTTTTTCTGAAATTTTCAACAATATTTGAATCTTGTTTTACATCAGAGGTATACAATTTCTCAGTTCACTTTTAGAGGGCTGGAAAGTATAATATTTATATTTTATAACGTCAAATAGTTAAATATCAAAATATTTTTGTTTCAGGAGTTGGAGGGTGAAAGAGCGACGCGTTCAGCATTATTCTCAGCTCTAAAAGAGATAGGCCAAGTTGCTATAGCAACAGAAATTCTTGGAGATATGGATACCTGATAAGATATATTGATACAGATATTTTTTATACATTACTTAAGTCTTTATGGACATTGTACATCTTCATAGTTTGGTATGAAGCATTGGAGACTGCGCAGTTACCATGGATTTAGTGTTAGAAAATAGAACTACAAGAAACATTACATTGAGAATGATGGCTTTGACAAAATGTGACAAAAACACACTAGTATCTGTGTTATCTTTGTGACTCACACTTTTATTGGAACTCCAACATTTATTTCGATAGCTGGAAGTTAAGATTACATGATGTCAGTTTGGGACATTCACCTATAATGGTGTATTTTTCATTTTTGATTAGCACATTATATTATGTGTTAGACACATATTAGCAGCTTCATGTATTCCTGTATCATATATTAAACATTATTATATAGATTCACTAGATGTTTATTTATCTAGTACACAAAATGCTCTTGTTTGTTTGTTCGTAGAATTCACTCAAGAGATATACAAGTTTTCCAAGTCTGCTAGATTTGAGATATTGGATGCAATGACCTTCCTTGTAACCCTCTAAGTTTCAAAGTGGAGCTGAATATTCACAAGGGGTCCCAAAATTTTTTCTGGGACAATTTTTAAAAGGGTTCAATACAAAATTGATCATAAATACCCATCCCCTAAAAGAAGTCAACAGAAGAGACAATGTTGTATTCAATATTACTGTACATCATTGTGTATTTTATTTATACATATCTCTTATTTTACAGAAATAATACAATAGTGTGACAGCCCTTCCAGTTACAGGTGTCACATTAACATTAGTGTGACAGCCCTTCCAGTAACAAGTGTCACATTAACATAAGTGTGACAGCCCTTCCAGTCACAGGTGTCACATTAACATTAGTGTGACAGCCCTTCCAGTAACAAGTGTCACATTAACATAAGTGTGACAGCCCTTCCAGTCACAGGTGTCACATTAACTTTAGTGTGACAGCCCTTCCAGTCACATGTGTCACATTAACATTAGTGTGACAACTTTTCCAGTCACAGGTGTCACATTAACATTAGTGTGACAGCCCTTCCAGTAACAAGTGTCACATTAACATAAGTGTGACAGCCCTTCCAGTCACAGGTGTCACGTTAACACAAACTTCAGAAATTGTACATATATCCTTCAGAGGTTCATTGCACATGTATACAAAGAAAAAAATACATATCCCAAAAAGTGATTTACTAATTTCAATAAGAGGTAGGGCTAGCCAGAAGGCAAAGCATCGTGAATTGACTCCTACATTTCATTGGGTTTCATTGTTTAACTTTAACAGGCTATAAAAAATTATTTTTATTCAAGCAATTTATTTACCAATTTATTGATTTCTAAATTTCTTTGTTTTTTGGTTACTTATGTTATTAGTTTCCCTGCTGAGGTCCTATTTTGCAAGCCCTCATGACATGACTGTCTCAAATGTTTCACCCTGTCAACTGTTTATGATATGTACAAACTCTTTACAAAACTTTGGTGGAAATCATCAACATATAACATTCAATCTATCTACTATAAAAATTCAAGAAACCAAAATATCAGTTTTACCAAAAAGTTAACCTTCATTGAAATATTGGTTATGTTGAAACATGTTTTGTGATTATCAATGATTTTTATTACTTTTAATCATTTGTATCAACTTCATAATTTTTTATTTTATGTGATCCAATGATGTATCCATACATGTGTTACATATTTAGGCTGTGCTTTTAGATCACTGCACCACTTTCTCTTAAAATCATATTTTACACTGGAATAAAAATTCAAATTGACACATTTATATTTGCCACTGAAATTTCACAACATTTTAAAATAAAACATACTAAAATTGTATAGCAAAATGAGAATGTTTTCAGTTTAGACTGATTTTTGATACCATGATAGAATTATTCTAAATTTGGCTCCTATTTATTACACAAGAATCCATGAATATTATATAAGAATCATGATGAATATTAAAAACTGAACATCCTGAAATCGTAAGCATTATGTTTGTATCTCAACATTAAAATTCAAAATCAACATCATCTCTGGACATTTCTAGAATTCATTTTTATATTTACAGGTTTTGGCAGGTAAAAACCTAATTGATAAATGATAGTGGCTGTATTGACAGTCAGTAAACTTCAGAAGCTATTATTGTTTAGTTTGCTACATATAATACACATACATACAAAAATTCTTGCTATTTTACACTTTAAAATTCAGAATATAACTGTGCCAACAAATTCAATTTAGGCTACTGAAAATATAAACGGCATATAAAATGTCAAGCTTCAATGAAACAATTCCATTTTGTGAATATTATCAACAGCAGGCATAAGATTTGAGTCCTAGGAATCAAAGTCCTTTGTTCTTATGTCTTAAAATATCCAGAGGTACCATCAACTTTCCAGGCTTGCTGGACTAGAATAGGTGGCACTAGTGTTAAATAATGTTAAAACCCCATCAGGAGGAAGCCCTGCTCTAAGACAGTACCATCAGAGATATTAAGCGGTATGATATGACCAGATTTAAGAAGAATCCATAGTGAGCCACTGACCAGACATCTCCTGCCTCCAATCATTGGTTGAGATACTTAATACATAGAAGAGGTGAAATATTAGGCCGTTGAGTCAATAATACATCCCCATTACTATGGCAGCATCTCCAAATGTTTGATTAGATCATGGGCTATACCATGATAAGATATCCTGGATCAACCAATTTGTCTGCTAATATAACCTCAGAAAAGTACATTCAATTATATCATAACTTATAAGGCAAGAAGTGCCCCACTTTAATTCATTCCAAATTTTTGGGTCTTATTTATTTCAAAGGCCATTTTTATCAATAGGCTTAAGCAATCCATAGGGCCTCAAATCATTTATAGGCCTTTTAGTGACCATCCCTGGACAAGTGTAAGGTTGGTCTTGATCACTGAATATGCTCACTTCCAATCCAATGAACACCACTTTATTGGAGAACATTCCCAATTCTGTTTCTATTACTGAGTGTCCTCCTATAGGCACATGGCTATTTGTCCAATGTGGGTGCTTAAGTACATGCTGTTTGCTTTTAAGGGGTGAGGGTCCTCCAGTTTGCAGTCTGGCTATAAGTCAGTGGCTGGTACAGTAGCCTATGGCCTGTGGAATCTGAAATGAGGAGTTTAAAAACATAAATAATAATGTATGTTGTCTTCAAAACAATGTATCAAAGGATATTGTGTAATGAATCATGATTATTGTTTAATCTAAAATTATAACAGCAAGTGATATTTCTGATATTATGGAGATCAGTGTGATATTCATTTTCAGAAAATCGTTTATCAGGCCCTTATGTGGCTGATAAATCCAATTTTGAATTTTTTAAATTCTTGATTGTAATCGTGTGATAAACCCAATATCAGATTATTTCTTGTGATATCATTTTATCACCTTGTAGATATCAAATATCAACCCTCATGTCATCTTGATATTTGATATCAACCCGTCAATAAAAATGACATCACTCAAACTAATCTGATATTGTATATTTATCTTAACCTTGTGTGCTTTATTGTCAGGTTTTTAAAATCATTCATAATGCTCCATCTTTATTACATATCTAGCATTTATTAAAATTAGACATACCTCGTTAAATGTTTGCTCTCCTCATGGACTGCCATTTCTCCTGCCTTGAATTCATTTAATTCTTTCCTAATAGCAGCCTAAATAAAAATAAGAATGAACTGTCAGATACATAAAGGTAATTTGAAAAGTGAACCACTAAAACTGATGCATATTCACGTTTAAGGGAATTTTTTAATACCCTGCCATGTTATTTCCCCCGAATCAGCCACCTGGTGGCGAAACTGGTAACTACCTTCTCGCATCTGAGTAATTGAATATGTTGCCGTATCTCATGGTTTAAAATAAAATATTATAGGAATATCATATGATTTTGAAAACATATATAATTTACAGGGCGTCAAATAAGTCTGTTCTCCCCCCTTAACTTTTTTAATTCAGAGATAACATAGGGTTTGTATATATCATCCTAAAGGGGATTTAATTTGCTGATCACACACCAAATTTCAGAGTGATTGGTTAAATTCCAAATTTTTTAAAGTATTTCTCGTGATGTCCATATTTCACTTTTTTAATAGTCTGTATGTCTCCCCTAGCAGCCTGGAGGGCCTCAATTCTACGAGGATATGATCCTGTATAAATCACTCAGAACATTTAATTGTAGGTGTTATCAATTATTTTGTGATGAAAGATGCCCCTGCTTCAAAGGCTCCCCTGAATGTAACACATTTTACTCTGTTATGATATTATTATATTGAGAAACATCGAAACCACCCAATGTTGGCATTGTCACTGCAGTATCAACTTTTCACTTTTCATTCATTATACCTGGTAATTTTACTTGTTTTGAAGTAATCAACGGTCAACTACAACCTTACAAGAAACATTGTAGCAATTTTATTAGGAGGAGTTTATGATTGATTTTTTGAGGGTGATCAGCATTTTCCATGAGCTTCAAAATGATATATGGGAAAGTATGATAAAAAAGATAAAAAAGTTAAGGGGGGAGAACAGACTTATTTGACACCCTGTATATCCATGAGTTGATATAACTGATATTTTTTCAAAACCATTGTCTTCCATGCAAAATTAATACCCCGTGAATATTGAATAATCAGATAAAAAATGAAAATTTTGAAAAAAATTGTTTTGCAGAATTAAAAAATATTACGAAAGATGTTTATGTTTACCAATATAACCCAGGTTTGTATAATAAAATTGGTAAAGTACATAACACAGTCCAGTCCAAGACTGAGTGAATATATCATCCATAAAAGACAATATAATCAACAACACTATTCACTTGCTACATTTTATACTGATTGAACACTCAAGCTTCAGTCTTGTGTTTTGAGCTGTTTACAATGAAACCTAATATGGCCTTCTAATTCATATAAACTTAATAAAATGATGGTACCTTATCTCTAGGGGTGAGGCGGGTCCAGGGCTTGTCCCCCCTCCTGTCATACGGCTCGCACTGCGTCACCTCAACGTAATCATTGAACTTTATGATCTTGCGCTCTTTTAATTCTTCAACTGTAGGTCTAAAACTTAACTGAAAAATAAAATGTAAATTAAGTAGAAGATTAATTAAGAAGAAGTCCTATTTTTGTATATTTCTACTCATGAGTTCTTCGTTCATGTTGGTCATATGTTAATATCATGGGAGAAAAATTTACTAAATGCTTTTAAAACTAAGAATCTATAGGTTGATTTTAAAGTACTAATTAGTAATTCCCATGTTATGAGGCAGATGCACAGCATGTGGGATTCTCAGTTAGGGGTTGTTTTTCTGATATCAATTAACAATATTTTGTACCTTTCGTATTAAAGTTCTCTTTTTCTCTTCTATGTCACGCCGTACTTGCTCTTCTGTCTGGCCTAAAACGAGACACTCAAATGAAACAGCAAATCAAATCAATTACATTTATCATTAATAGAATACGAACTCTTTTTAAAGATAACCAAAAAACTAATTTCCAAGTTGGAGTGTATTTTTCAAGATATCAACTCTGATTTGCTTTCCAAAATATTTCCGTCAAACATAAATAATGGCACATTTCATGCACATATGGATGGTGAATCCTTATTTAAACGTAACCTTTTTTACCTAAAACACAATTTTCCATGTAAGGATGAGGTGGAAACTGAAAAGTGTTTTTATATTTTTGTTTAGGACTCTCCTTTAGTGTTTCCCCTTGTTCTTTGTTTTTATCTTTCACAGCTTCTAGCCAGGTATAGGAGTCGTGGTAATGGTGGTGGATTTCATTTGGACTGTTTGAGCAGATAAGGAAGCTCTCTGTCTCATTATGGACGGGAACAACACCGCAACACACTGCAGCTTTACGATGTCGTTCCATGTTCGATCTTGCCATCCAATCATCATCCAGGATATTATTTTTCATTTCATCAAGGGCATTTTCCAGAGCTTCATTTATGTTAGCTACATTGTCCCCTTTCTGTTCCCCAAAACAACCAGATGTGTCCAAGTCTAACTCTTCTAATACCTGACCAAGGAGATCAGTCAGCGGAAGAGTGCAGCCATTCTTACGATTCATCAGTTTTATTGTACGATTACCTCCTTCGAATAACATGGTGAATAATTTATTTTTATACTTCACGTCACCATTTTTCCTAGTTATTTCAGGACTCTGGTCCAGGGGAACATACTCCGAAGATTCCAAGATTTTCCCTGGCTCCACATCTGAATGTTGTAGCTTCCTTAATGTGTTTGTCATTTGTTTATCACAACTCATTCCTAGTTTTCTATTCGTGTCCATCATTACTCTGCCGTCTATCTTAGGTAATAATAAACATGCCATGTGGTTTTAATAATTGCCCAGTATGTAGAATACCAATGTGGAGTATATGCTCTTACTGTTAGTATACAGTGTGCTCAAATAATACTCAAATATCTGTTAGTAGATATTGTGCTCAAATAATACTCAAATATCCAAGATTTGTATTCTCTCAAATCTAAAATCCTTATATGTGATTCTGCTCATGACAAGTTTCATAATATCTTACTGCGCTAATTGCATCCTTTCTTATGTACACCTTCTAGCTATTGTGAGTGGAGTCTCCATAGCAACTATACATGCACTTTGATTGTGATGTGATATCACAATGTTTTTTTATGTATAAAATTTGATGATTGTTGCAAGCATGATTGGTTACAATAGCATGTCTGAGTTTCATTTAGGTTTCTTAATTGTTGCTATAACACAATAAAATCAATGTTTTTGCAATAAAATGAAGAAAAGATGCATTCTATGAAAGATAATTTGAATAACTTGATACTTACAATGTAAAATGTTTCTTTGTTCTAATTCTTCTAAAGTAGGTCGTAAACTAAGTCTCCTGCAAACACAAACAACAACTGCATTTCAGTAATTTTCCAATTTATAAATACCAATTCAATTTATTAAAGTTAATCCACTCGATCAAACACTAATTATAATGTAATGCATCACAGCAATGTATCACAATAATGCACAACAGTAATGCATCATGGCAATGTATCACAATAATGCACCACAGTAATGCATCGCACCAATATACCACAGTAATGCACAACAGTGATGTACAGTTTTATACAGTTATGCACCTTAGCAGTGCAACACAGTAATGCACCACAGTAATGCATCACAGCAATATACCACAGTAACGCATCGCACCAATATACCACAGTAATGCACCACAGTGATGTACCACAGCAATGCAACACAGTGATGTACCACAGTAATGCATAACAGTAATAACACACAGTACAACACAGCCCCTTTGGGCAATCTGCATGTCAAATTCCAAACACTCCTGGGTGTGGGGGGTCTCATGGAAACCTTTGTTTGGTGTATTATTCTTGAAGAACATTGGACATATTACATAATAACATTTTACACATACCGAGTCAATGTACTGCCTATTTTTTTTTTAATATCTTCTTTTTCTGTATCACTTTTTTGTGGTATGATATTGCGATCTTGCAGTTCTTTCATGGCTGGACGCTGGCTTAGAAATCGTGCTAAACTGTCCTGTCGTGACACCTTGGCTGCAAGTGATGACACTGGAAAACAAAATGTCAAATTCATTACCCAATACTTTGCAATTCATAGTAAGCCATATCATTAAGAGCTGCTCCTGGTTTGGGGTTATTAGAATATATATCATCATAAACGCATGGGAATTTCATCTGTTTAAGCTAAATGTACATGGTTGCCATGACGCACGCCTCCTGAAATTAGCAAAACTTGAAAAGTGATTACAGTACTGAAAATAGCAAAATCTATGAGGTGAATGTCTTCTGTTTAAAGCTTTGAAATTTTCTGAAAAGGTGTTTATTTAGTCAAAAGATTCAGTGGGGCGAAGTGTGCTTAGCTTTCAAAATGTGTTAAGAGGATAATATCTTTATCTGATCAGAACATGGATTCATTTTTTCTGAATTCTGACAATAAACCAAGAAAATCACAACCCACTGTCACGTTTCTCCACATGTATACAATCTAAGTTCCCATAATGCAATTCTACTCACTAGGGGCATCATCATCATCTTCATCTCGGTATTTGATTTCTCCGTCATCTGATGATGAATCGTCTCCTGGAACATTGTCATAGTCTGTGTGTCCTGGCGCAACAGGTGTCACTCTTGGTACAGGTGCAAAACCAACATGCACAGAGGAACTTGGAACATTTTCTTTATTTTCTTCAATAGTACCGGTACTAAAAATATATTCAGCAAAACTTATTGATATTAAATTCAATATTTTGGGGTAATTAAGGAATTTTTGACTTTTCTGAAAATGAGAATCAAAATACAAAATAATAAGCAATCTCCCTAAAAACAACAATATTGTGTTTAAAGAAGATCCAAAACATCTTCTATATAAATAGAAATATAATTAACAAGTGTTATTGGCATTTTATGCTGGCACCTGAAATATTTTGCCTTTTAGTCATAATAATTAAAATAAATAAAAAAAGTACTTACTTAGATGCTGGCCTTCTGGCTATCCTAGGTTTAGGGGCAGTGGCTGGCCGTTGTTTCTGTATAGTAGTAGGGGGCGGCATAGGGGGTGGATTAGCACCTGCAGAAGAGACACTCAAGTATTACAATAACTTTTAAAAGTTATTATTACATACCTCATATGTATTCTATACGCTTATTGGTCAATTCATGGTCACATGATATGAAATAGATAGACTAATTCCCTGGAAAGTACTTAATCCCCGCTTTCGCAGATTACGGGGAAGATAAAAGCTACTAATGACCGATGACATCATTGAAATCCCAGGAAAACGACTGCGCATCATTAGTGCGCATTCAAAGTTCAGTTCAGACGACAATATGGCTGGTCGTTTCGAAACGATAAATGACGATGATTTGGATGAATTGATGGACCAAGCCGATTCTTTGGCTACAAAAAACATTATCAAATCTTCAAGGAAACTCTTTGAAGAGTACTGTGGAGAAACTAACTGCGATGCTGACTCAGACAATCCAGAAATGATAGGATCTATATTGGAGAAATTTTGGAGGGCCTGCCGGAAACAAGAAATGTCTTAATATTTTTTATTTGGAATACATATGAGGTATGTAATAAAACAAATAGTGACTGCCAAATTTTCGAGCAATAGGGCAAACTATTTTCCCCTTGGGAATATCCTGTCCACTGACATTCTTTTGTATATATATTAGAAAGTGGGATATTAAACCACTGAAAAGCCAAGTAAATTAAAAAAATGTTCTTTATTTTCAGAACATACCTTTTAATGCACTTTTGACAGGTTTCTTATTCAGGTCAGGTTCACGTGAAGGCACCTCTGTAAATGATGTAGTGGAGAGACCAACAGTTGGCATGTGTTCATCTCCTGCTAAAACACAGTTCAATTCATTGTCAGTACAATTCATTAAAGTCACAAATGTAAATGATGTAGTGGAGAGACCAACAGTTGGCATGTGTTCATCTCCTGCTAAAACACAGTTCAATTCATTGTCAGTACAATTCATTAAAGTCACAAATGTAAATGATGTAGTGGAGAGACCAACAGTTGGCATATGTTCATCTCCTGCTAAAACACAGTTCAATTCATTGTCAGTACAATTCATTAAAGTCACATCTGTAAATGATGTAATAGTGAAGAGACCAAAATTTGGCATGTGTTCATCCTCTGCTAATTACAGTACAATTCATTGTCATTATATTTCATCGTCAATACAATTCATTGTCAGTAGTATTCCATTTCATTGTCACAACAATTCATTGAGAACAAAAAAGTTGGCACAGTGTACTGTCAGTAAAATTCATTAAGGTAGTTGTATACTGGCAATAGACGACTCAATGCTATAGCATAGGAGCAGTGATTTGATGAGTGTTCAGCTTTAGGTCAAATAAATTTTGTGATAACACACTTTTGAAAAATTAGTTTCTTACTTTATATGGACACATAACTCTAATGGATATAATGAATCATATCCAGTAATAGCATTTTAAGTGTATCTTTGTTGCACTGTACATAAAGAGCAAAATATTTACATTAACAAAAATCGTAAATTAAAAAATTGTATTTTCCAAGGAGCAACAGTAAACAAAAAGTCAATCATTTTGTTTTCTTAAAATTAATTTTAATCTTCCCCATGGAAAAAATTCAAGAAATCATTTTCAATTTTGGAGATAATAATACAGCCTTTTAATCCACTACTCTACTATTCCTTAACATGTAAATCAAAATGTTTTCTAGCTTTAGGCCTTTAGGTGGGTATACAGCAATCAAGATTCTAGAGCAATGTATTGGTCAGTGGATACATACCATTGATACAGATGTCAGCCTTTAACAAACATGATTTTCCAAGTATAAACAGTAGACTGAATTCAGTTGGACGTATGTAAATCTTAAAAATCCACACTTATATTTTTTATTCATATTTTTTTATTTAATTTCAAGATATGTTTATTTGGCATACCTGTGGTATGGACAACTGGGAGGACTTTGGTCACAGGAGGTTCTGGTGGGGGGTAGTTAGGGACCTCTGGCGAACCAGGCTGTATTACTGGGGGAGGGGATGTCACAACTTCCTGTGTGGGTGGAGGGTAGCTTGGTAGATTGTCATAATCTTCTGAATTCTGAGTACCATTTAAAGTGATAGGCCGAGTAACTGATGTAACTTCTACTGAAAAAATAAATAGTTCAAATTACTACTTATTAAGTTTAATAAACCTTTTTTCTGAATAAAATGCTTAATAAAAATCACAATCACAAAAAAAGAATAAAATGTAACATGAGGCTTACTCGAAAAACAGGCAAGGATGAGTCCTATTTCTAATAACTAAACTGAGAGGACAGAAGGTGATTCAACCATGTTTCATTATTTTCAAATGAAGATGTGATAATTGAATAATCAAATATTGCAATATCATCTCACAAGAGCTGTTTCTGTATATATTATCATCATTATTGTTCTCATGATTGGCAAGAAAATATGAAAATTTTATTTTGTCTTTTTGTTTATTTACATTATTGAATTATGCTGAATAATCATAATACGGACATCGCAACAGATTTAATCCCTTATATACTCCACTCATTAGAGGTACAGTAGTACTTTGTTCTATAATTGTATAATTCATTTATTAAACAAAACCAAGCATTTAGACCTTGTATTCCTGAAATACCTGCTCTCAAGGTCATTGCCACTTTGTATACTGCTGCACAAACAATGGTTAGATGCAAGAGGGACTGATTGGTGGGGTAGCCCCAAGAAGGAGGAGACTAAGAACCTGATTGGTGGGGTAGCCCCAAGAAGGAGGAGACTAAGAACCTGATTGGTGGGGTAACCCCAATGAAGAATGAGACTAAGAACCTAATTGGTGGGGTAACCCCAATGAAGGATGAGACTAAGAACCTGATTGGTGGGGTAGCCCCAAGAAGGATGAGACTAAGAACCTGATTGGTGGGGTAACCCCAATGAAGAATTAGACTAAAAACCTGATTGGTGGGGTAGCCCCAATGAAGGATGAGACTAAGAACCTGATTGGTGGGGTAACCCCAATGAAGGATGAGACTAAGAACCTGATTGGTGGGGTAACCCCAATGAAGGATGAGACTAAGAACCTGATTGGTGGGGTAACCCCAATGAAGGATGAGACTAAGAACCTGATTGGTGGGGTAACCCCAATGAAGGATGAGACTAAGAACCTGATTGGTGGGGTAACCCCTAGAAGGATGAGACTAAGTACCTGATTGGTGGGGTAACCCCAATGAAGGATGAGACTAAGTACCTGATTGGTGGGGTAACCCCAATGAAGGATGAGACTAAGAACCTGATTGGTAGGGTAACCCCAATGAAGGATGAGACTAAGAACCTGATTGGTGGGGTAACCCCTAGAAGGATGAGACTAAGTACCTGATTGGTGGGGTAACCCCTAGAAGGATGAGACTAAGTACCTGATTGGTGGGGTAACCCCAATGAAGGATGAGACTAAGAACCTTTTGGTGGGGTAACCCCAAAGAAGAATGAGACTAAGAACCTAATTGGTGGGGTAACCCTGAATGAAGGATGAGACTAAGAACCTGATTGGTGGGGTAACCCCAAGAAGGAGGAGACTAAGAACCTGATTGGTGGGGTAGCCCCAAGAAGGATGAGACTAAGAACCTGATTGGTGGGGTAGCCCCAATGAAGAATGAGACTAAGAACCTGATTGGTGGGGTAACCCTGAATGAAGAATGAGACTAAGAACCTGATTGGTGGGGTAACCCCAAGAAGGATGAGACTAAGAACCTGATTGGTGGGGTAACCCCAATGAAGGATGAGACTAAGAACCTGATTGGTGGGGTAACCCCAATGAAGGATTAGACTAAGAACCCGATTGGTGGGGTAACCCCAAGAAGGATGAGACTAAGAACCTGATTGGTGGGGTAACCCTGAATGAAGGATGAGACTAAGAACCTGATTGGTGGGGTAACCCCAAGAAGGATGAGACTAAGAACCTGATTGGTGGGGTACCCCCAAGAAGGATGAGACTAAGAACCTGATTGGTGGGGTAACCCTGAATGAAGGATGAGACTAAGAACCTGATTGGTGGGGTAACCCCAAGAAGGATGAGACTAAGAACCTGATTGGTGGGGTACCCCCAAGAAGGATGAGACTAAGAACCGGATTGGTGGGATAATCCCATATTTATCACATTCAGACAAACATGAAATATAAAGATTGACATGCATGCCACATAAATCAGTGCAGTGGCTCACCTGTGTCTTTCTGTTGGATTATTGTTACAGGAGGCACACTTTCCTGTCCATCTCCCTGACCTACTGTCACATTTATAGTCTCTATGTGGACCCCTGTACCACCATTCTTATCAGGGGGCTCTGAGTTGTGAACTGTCGTAATGGGAGGCACTTCTGGTGTGCTTACTGCAATAACAAATATAGAGTTCCCAGCTTGGGTGCAAACAACTAACAAAATATACTAGACACAATATTTGATCCCGTTATTCTAATTTTATATTAAGCATCATAAAGCATTTGTTATGAGAGACAAATTAACTCATACTGCTATATAAACTGTACCTTGATTGTCTTTGGCCTGCGATACAACATCAGCTTCTGTAGTGACAGTTGTCGTTTTGGGTTGAGTGTCACCCTCAACACTGGGCTCCCCTGCCCCTCCACTCACCCGGGAATCTGCATTGTCTGGAACTGGACCAGCTCCATTCTTCTCTTTGGAAGACTCTGGAAATATGCAAATACATCAAATATTGTGAAATGAAAGAACATCTTGTACATACAATGTTAAACTGAATCTAAATGTACTTGACTGTTCTGAAGCTTAAAGCACAGCTTTATCTAGTCTTATAAGTTTACCTGAACTCTTATGTTATTTTCATTATGACTTGAATCAATAATCTTTCATATAAACATTGATGATATGCTATTGTTAGCAACAGATACTATCACTTCCCTATATACTGTATGATTATTGAAGTGCTTCATAAAATTAAACACTGAATCATTACTGACTACACTACACTACATGAATTGCTTGAAGTTCTTTGTATTCTTGGAAGCATTAACACAGAACAGGAACATAAGCAGTGAAATATGTGTGTTGCACTTTATATAATGATTAATACAAAATATATTACGGCAAATAAGCTGTACATTAAATTATTGTGTAGGTTAACCTCTGCTTATGAAACAAAGATTTGATTGATAAATAATTAATTTCTCGCAGAAATGCACCAGGGGGTCTTTAACAGAACTTTCGTAAAGTTACGAATTCGCAAGTCAATTGTTAATTTTACGAATTTGGTAAATGTGCATTAACAGAACTTTCGTAAAGTTACGAACGATTCGCAAAGTTACGAAAAAATGACGTCACGTATGCTTTCGTTCGTAACTTTAATAGCACCTCAGACCCTTTCATAACTTTGCGAATGACACATTTCTCATCCAATTCTTATGTAAGGTATACAGGTTGGCAAAAAGAAATTGTTCTCTATACGCATGCTGAGTTTCAAGCTAAAATATCTACCTATTCTTACATGATAAGCAAATATGTTCCTGAGCTGGGAATCTTTGAAATCGCGGAGACAGGTTTGATCACAGCGCGCAATGATATCAAATGACATCATATTTTTATTTGTGCTAAATAATAATATAAGATGACGTCACAATTTGAAATTCGTTTACGAACAATAAAACTTATGAATGACTTACGAAAGTGTTCTGTTAATGGCCGATTCGTAACTTTATGAATTCGTAAATCATTCGTAACTTTTTAAATATTTACGAATTTCATAAAGTTACGAATTACGAATTCGTAACTCTGCGAAAGTTCTGTTAATGACCCCCAGATTAAGATGTTGCAGTTACAACATTTGCTGGCACTATATCAGCTTGACCAGGCACTGAAAGCCATGCAGAGTCTAGAGGGGTAATTAGAGGTTGGAATAAGGCAAATCAAGGCCATGTCTGCAAGTGAAGTTTACTGGAGACTGGACAGGTAATCTGTTGAGGCATTAAGAAGCTCCCTAATTGCATGTTCTTGTGTATTCTGTCCACCATCATGCAATGAAAGACACTAATGGATTCCTGCCATAAGCAACAAGGCACCCTTTTAAAATGTTTGATTTTGCTTCTTTGAAAGAGAACTTTGTCTACTTGAAATATACTAGGCTCTTACCCTCTGTCTACTTAATATACTACAAGGCTCTTACCCTCTGTCTACTTAATATACTACTAGGCTCTTACCCTCTGTCTACTTAATATACTACTAGGCTCTTACCCACTGTCTCGTTAATATACTACTAGGCTCTTACCCTCTGTCTACTTAATATACTACTAGGCTCTTACCCTCTGTCTACTTAATATACTAGGCTCTTACCCTCTGTCTACTTAATATACTAGGCTCTTACCCTCTGTCTATTTAATATACTAGGCTCTTACCGTCTGTCTACTTAATATACTAGGCTCTTACCCTCTGTCTACTTAATATACTATGCTCTTACCCTCTGTCTACTTAATATACTAGGCTCTTACCCTCTGTCTACTTAATATACTAGGCTCTTACCGTCTGTCTACTTAATATACTAGGCTCTTACCCTCGTCATAATATTTATGTAAAAATGCATTTTTGACTACAGTTTCTACTCGAATTTTCAAACATCATAACGTCATGCAAATCTATATAAAATTAGTGTTGCGTCCAGCCCTTGTATGTACAGAAGTACATATGTTTGTTATAGAGAGAATATTGTAAATGTATAGGGGCCTTAATGCAACACTATTTTAAATGACATTGCTTTTTCATTTAAGGAAGTATTTTGTTAATTACTTCATTTGCTATTATAATAAGGCATAAACATGTGGATTATCACCACCTGTCATTTGATACAGTGGCCACTTGTGGTGGTAATATAAAACATGTCACTTTTCAGGAAGGATTTGGAAGAGGGAACAGTAACCACCCCTCCCCTTGCAAAACACATTTGGAACAAGAATATTCAAAATTGCACCTGCTTTTTGTTTTAAGGAAGTATTTTGCCAGACATCAATAAATTTTCTAAGCACTACTAGGTTTACACAACTTCATTATACAATGTACAGCCCTAAAGGGTACATGTGCATGGTTTGCAATGTTCCAGCCCTAAAGGGTACATGTGCATGGTTTGCAATGTTCCAGCCCTAAAGGGTACATGTGCATGGTTTGCAATGTTCCAGCCCTAAAGGGTACATGTGCATGGTTTGCAATGTTCCAGCCCTAAAGGATTCATGTACATCTTTTGCAATGGTCAGAATACTTCCACATCACTTTCCAATTCCATCTGAATCTATATTTCCATTATCATCAAGACCCATCAAGAAACATATTACAAATGGACTGAATATTGTCTCTATAGTATGATAATGCTTTGTTTTGATAGTAGCATTCTGTGCCAAGTTGATTTTGAACAGACACTACATTTTATATGGCAAGATCATTAGTTTGACCCTAAAGCCTGTAAATCAGAAATATATACCACGTAATAAACATTTTATTTCAACTCCACCTTATCTCAAAGACTACAGTGTTTTCCTTTATACAAGAGTAGATCAAACAGTAGTAGAGTTGCTGTACTCCCTTCACAAAATTTAAGACCACTAAGATCTTGTTTATTTTGAAAAATAAAAATTTTCAGAACTTGTATAGTAAATAATTGAATGATACATGATTGGTCAAAAAATAAGAGACTGGAATGTTAGAAGTAAAAAAGAGTAATTTACATTGAACATTCTCTGCACTATATTTACACAGCCTGTGGGTTACTTAGTCTTGTATCAAGTCAATGTCTTTTTGCACTATATTTACACAGCCTGTGGGTTACTTAGTCTTGTATCAAGTCAATGTCTCTGCACTATATTTACACAGCCTGTGGGTTACTTAGTCTTGTATCAAGTCAATGTCTTTTCTCACTATATTTACATTTTACACAGCCTGTGGGTTACTTAGTCTTGTATCAAGTCAATGTCTTTTTGCACTATATTTACACAGCCTGTGGGTTATTAAGTCTTGTATCAAGTCAATGTCTTTTCACACTTTATTTACACAGCCTGTGGGTTACTTAGTCTTTTATCGAGTCAATGTCTTTTCGCACTATATTTACACAGCCTGTGGGTTACTTAGTCTTGTATCAAGTCAATGTCTTTTCGCACTATATTTACACAGCCTGTGGGTTACTTAGTCTTGTATCAAGTCAATGACTTTTTGCACTATATTTACACAGCCTGTGGGTTACTTAGTCTTGTATCAAGTCAATGTCTTTTCGCACTATATTTACACAGCCTGTGGGTTACTAAGTCTTGTATCAAGTCAATGTCTTTTCGCACTATATTTACACAGCCTGTCTTTTCGCACTATATTTACACAGCCTGTGGGTTACCAAGTCTTGTATCAAGTCAATGTCTTTTCACACTATATTTACACAGCCTGTGGGTTACTTAGTCTTGTATCAAGTCAATGTCTTTTCGCACTATATTTACACAGCCTGTGGGTTACCAAGTCTTGTATCAAGTCAATGTCTTTTCACACTATATTTACACAGCCTGTGGGTTACTTAGTCTTGTATCAAGTCAATGTCTTTTCGCACTATATTTACACAGCCTGTGGGTTACCAAGTCTTGTATCAAGTCAATGTCTTTTCGCACTATATTTACACAGCCTGTGGGTTACCAAGTCTTGTATCAAGTCAATGTCTTTTCACACTATATTTACACAGCCTGTGGGTTACTTAGTCTTGTATCAAGTCAATGTCTTTTCGCACTATATTTACACAGCCTGTGGGTTACCAAGTCTTGTATCAAGTCAATGTCTTTTCGCACTATATTTACACAGCCTGTGGGTTACCAAGTCTTGTATGAAGTCAATGTCTTTTCGCACTATATTTACACAGCATGTGGGTTACTAAGTCTTGTATCAAGTCAATGTCTTTTCGTACTATATTTACACAGCCTGTGGGTTACCAAGTCTTGTATCAAGTCAATGTCTTTTCACACTATATTTACACAGCCTGTGGGTTACTTAGTCTTGTATCAAGTCAATGTCTCCGCACTATATTTACACAGCCTGTGGGTTACTAAGTCTTGTATCAAGTCAATGTCTTTTCGCACTATATTTACACAGCCTGTGGGTTACTAAGTCTTGTATCAAGTCAATGTCTTTTCACACTATATTTACACAGCCTGTGGGTTACCAAGTTTTGTATCAAGTCAATGTCTTTTCGCACTATATTTACACAGCCTGTGGGTTACTTAGTCTTGTATCAAGTCAATGTCTCCGCACTATATTTACACAGCCTGTGGGTTACTAAGTCTTGTATCAAGTCAATGTCTTTTCGCACTATATTTACACAGCCTGTGGGTTACTAAGTCTTGTATCAAGTCAATGTCTTTTCACACTATATTTACACAGCCTGTGGGTTACCAAGTTTTGTATCAAGTCAATGTCTTTTCGCACTATATTTACACAGCCTGTGGGTTACTTAGTCTTGTATCAAGTCAATGTCTCCGCACTATATTTACACAGCCTGTGGGTTACCAAGTCTTGTATCAAGTCAATGTCTTTACGCACAAATTTACACAGCCTGTGGGTTACTAAGTCTTGTATCAAGTCAATGTCTTTTTGCACTATATTTACACAGCCTATGGGTTACTTAGTCTTGTATCAAGTCAATGTCTCTGCACTATATTTACACAGCCTGTGGGTTACTAAGTCTTGTATCAAGTCAATGTCTTTTCACACTATATTTACACAGCCTGTGGGTTACCAAGTTTTGTATCAAGTCAATGTCTTTTCGCACTATATTTACACAGCCTATGGGTTACTTAGTCTTGTATCAAGTCAATGTCTCTGCACTATATTTACACAGCTTGTGGGTTACTAAGTCTTGTATCAAGTCAATGTCTTTTCACACTATATTTACACAGCCTGTGGGTTACTAAGTCTTGTATCAAGTCAATGTCTTTTCGCACTATATTTACACAGCCTGTGGGTTACTTAGTCTTGTATCAAGTCAATGTCTTTTCGCACTATATTTACACAGCCTGTGGGTTACCTAGTCTTGTATCAAGTCAATGTCTTTTCGCACTTTATTTACACAGCCTGTGGGTCACTTGTCTTTTGGGGCATGTAAGAATAATCAAAGAACCAAGCACCAGTAGTGGGAGATTGGATACCAAAGTGTATAATTCTCAGTTTTAGTGAGAGGGTTGCACTTTAGACTAGAGTCAGAGTAAGTTATATCACATTCTTTCATATAGCGGAAGATAATCCTACATTACTGCCCCTGATTCATCTTCCACAAATTTCTGTATATGAATGTAAGAATGTGGACTGATCATGGTAAGCATTTCTATATATCAAAGCAAACATCCATTGCCCTAGTGATCACTTTCATCTAGTACTGTAGTAGCCTCTCTGTTTATTTTGGACACCATTCTCTTGTGAGCACCTTTCTGATTGAAATGAGCAGCTTTCTCAGGTGTACATATTCTTGAGTAAACAGCTTTCTATAGTGAACAGCTTTCTCTAGTGAACACTTTTTTCTTCAATATACATCTTTCACAAAGTAACCCAATAAAAGTCCCAATTCTTTAATTAATAGCTTTTTCCAGTAGACACATTTCCTAAAGTTAACTCTGATTAACACCTTAACTTTTGAGGAAGATTTGAGATTTTTATCACAGCTTTTCTTGGGAATCAAAGATCTAGGGCAGCATAAGGATCTGGTGTTATGTTTAGAAGACTAACAAGATGACATGTTATATTTAGAACTTAACAAGATGACACGTTATGTTTAGAACACTAACTAGATGACCAATGTTACCCTAAATGACCAAAGATTGGTTGAAATATAATTGTAATTAATCACTCCCAGGCAACATTGATTCATTGCTAGTAGGACTCCTCTCCTGTCCAACCACACACTACTGACATTCCTAGCCTCACATTCTGAATTCAGTCAGTGAGATCCAATCAACAAGAGCTGCATGTATATTGTCGATAAGCCACTATCAGGTCAGGACATAGTTGATAATTGCCAGATTTAATAGCCACGTCTGGCAATGATTAAATATGAATTATGATCACAGAGAGATTCAACATAAAACAACATAGGGCTGGATTGTTCATGAGCTTGGATGCACTAGTTTATACATGTTGCTGTAGTTTGTTGTTTACAAATAACTTAATCATTATTCATTATTTGTGAAAGTAAAGCCACCTTACCCTGCTCATCCCTGGCAGTGCTCTTATTCACACAGCAACCCATGATGTCTCACATTTATATACAACTTCTACATTTATATTTCCAGTGTAGTATTATCACCAAACATAAATCGCCACATGTATATTAAAGTCTGCCAAGTTACTGTGTATTAGCAGAGCATCTACTTCATCTAACTCTGTTCCAACTGTTCATTTACAAAGGTCAATTTTAACATTCCAACCTCATACCCCTTCAGTGGTAAGTTAACTTATCAACTTAGCAAGTAAAATAGCATATACATATTGGACTCACTTAATCTAGGGGGTGTTAGCTTGGGATTTTGGTCATGAATGTTTAACTAATCTACTGTGTAAATATACTGAAGTAAGATGACACACTTGGTGTATATCATAAACTTCACACACTCATACTTTAAATGCATGATATTCACTGTACATTAATGTTTCACTGATTGTTGTCAATTCGATTAAATGTAAAACTGTTACAAATCAATGAAACTATATGCATACTTCAGGTTCAGTAAAGGACACACAAAAGACTATACACACATACATAGTACATACATACTATTAAGTTTTTTAATAAATGAACTATGTATGAAATGGAATATAGCTTTAGAAACAAATTAAAGTTAAAATATGAATCAAATACAATAAGGTTAAAATACATGCAATACAATACATGCAATATAATAATGTACAGTATAAAGACATGCAGTACAATTCATGCAGTACAATACATGCAATACAATTCATGCAGTACAATACATGCAATACAATGCATGCAATATAAAACTATTACATATGTAAAATACATGCAGTACAAAATATGCAATACAATACATGCAGTTCAATGCATGTTGTACAATACATGCAGAATGATTAGTATACAAGGACATGAACACTTCATCTACAACTTCATGTTCTTTGAATTGAGCAAATTGTCAAAAGCACACATTAATCCCAAATAGAATGAATGAAGTGAACTGACCCTCTAGGTTCAGTAATCAATCAGTGGGGTGTCACTTTACTCTCACAGCATGTATTTGACCCATTTACTTATTAGTGATTTTAGTAAAAGTGTGCAGAGAGTACTAGTAAGTCTTAACAAGAGAATGGCAAGTCTACAGAGGAGCAAGTCCCAATGAATAATATATTCTTTCCTAAACATGAGGTATGAATCAAAGAGACAAATAATGTTTGAAATATGCTCAAAATACATTTTATTCAAGACTGTACTTCAGAGATCTCAGCATTTATGAAAATTCCAGTCTTTAGGTGGCCACTTTGGATTGTATGAGGCACAATTAATCAAGGCATTAATATGACAAAATATCACCAACTCGTTGCTCACAATATTATGAGTTCAACTGATTGCGGATGATCTTGAAAAAATTTGTCGATTTGAAGCAAGTTGAAAAATACCTTTTTGACCTTGAGAAGGTCATTGAAGGTCAAATCTCATATCTAAAGTCAGATTTCAACTTCTGACAACTTGTAGATGATTTTGAATAAAAGTGGTCAATTTGACACCTTTTTAACCTGTTTTACCTTGAGAAGGCCATTGAAGGTCAAGTCTTGAATCTAAAAATCAGATTTGAACTTCTGAGAACTTGTGGATGATTTTGAAAAAAAGTTGAAAGTTGAAAAAATACCTTTTTGACTTTTTGTAACCTTGACAAGGTCATTGAAGGTCAAATCGTAAGTCAGATTTAAACTTCTGAGAACTTGCGTCATGCAGTAATATTAATTTCTTTGATTAAATACATGTATTTAAAATAATTAAAATATTATATTCTTTAAGTAGAAGCCATTTTGAAGACATTTTTTGTAAATACTAACCATTTATACTTCTTTCCACCAAATATCAAGAAATTGGGTTATGTTATTGAGTTATGCTCTGGATAGATAGACTGATGGATATAAGGCTTCACTATTATCCCTATGAAACTTTATTCATTGGGATAATAACCACAGTCATGCAGGTCAATCGAAGGTTTCTATGTTTATCAATGATCATCAGGGGCATTATACAGGGTGCTCCTAAAAGTCATTCACACATCTCTTGAGTCAGCCCATACATGTTAATATAAGGGAGTGTAGGGAGTGCAGTGTGCAGCATTGAGGGGTCTCACCTGTATAAGATAACACTTCACCGGCAGTTAGTGTGTGCGTGCAGTCGGGTTCAGGTTCCTTAAGGACACCTCGTTTAATAAGTTCTTCTCTACTGGTGCGAACAGAGATTTTACGTTCTAAATCTACAATAGAGGGACAGACTTGGAACAACATGGTCAGGGGAAGACAGGGTGTTACATAAGTACAAGTAGCCACTTGATTTCAACTTGGCCAGATTATTTTGAAGCCTCAATTTTGGGCTAACTGAAGTAGCTTCAACCTTAACCACCTGATTTCCAGCATGTAGGAAAACAGGTGGTTTGAACTGAAATTTTGACCATAATAGATTTGCACTGCTTATGACACACCCTGGTTATGGGAGCTTACATTAAGAGAGCTATGTATTACAATAGTAAGATTATGTGACCAAGTACACCTATAAAGGGACCTGAGAAAAAAGGAAAAAGTTTTATTTGGCAGAAACAGTGGTGCATTTCCATTTATCAATTTGATCAAACCCATTCCTTGTTAAAACAGATGTAGAATTTGATGAACAAGGATGCAAATGGGATTTTGAGTCAAATGTGAACTAATAATTGTAAGAATTTTGACCAGAAATTCCTGTATAAATAAGAAGCCAATAAAGAAGAATAAAACCCTCTGAATAAGAGAAAAATATAACAGCCTTAATATGAAAAATACCATCTTCCATCTACAAACAACCAGGAAACATAAAGAAACATATAAAAGACAAACACAGATAAGGTGATAAACTTATCACACTGTGAAATAAAATTTGGAACAAATGATAATATTGTTGTTGATAATTGGTAACCATAGTGACAAATTCCTATCTGATAATAGTAATACACAAAAGAAAGTTATCAAAAATACCACGAGACCAGAAACAATCATTATGGTATTATGAGTTGTTATTGTAGTGTATGTAGTAAAAATATTATTATTGAGTTGTGATATTATCATTTTGGCAATTGAATTGCCATGGCAATATCTCTGCATGTTTTGTACATTCATTATTGATTACTTGAGCTTTATCGAAGTAGCTTGTATAAAGCTATTTTGGCAATCAATTTCCATATATGGATATGTATATATACATAATACATGTATGCGGTTGTATAGCACCTTTTGATTGGGTGCGGGTGGAGCCGCCGGGTGTGCAGATCTTGGTGGTAGTAGCAAATATTCAAACTGTTAACCTTCAATCAAACAATCAACAAGTGAAAAGAAGATGTCCATTCCATCAGATATAATCACATGTTGAAAGAACAAGACACAGAGTGATAAATATTACACTTTTAGAGGCAAAATGACCACCATATATGTTATCCAGGACACCCAAAACCCAATCAGATCTTGACGCTGCTATGTTTTTTCTGTAAAATTCAAGTCAACACACAAGCAGTTTTCCTGGTATTTTGATGAGGTTTATGTGGCACAAAAAAGATGACAATAAAAATATAACAACATCAGCATGACTGGCACATGACTGTCTGATAATGAACCATATGCTATAAAGATAGGTAAATAGATGGCAGCACATGTGTTGAGAGGGCCAGAATATCTTTCATAATATACAGACAACTGGCAAAAGGTCACTTAATTTATTGATTTATCAAGTATTTCCATTTGGATAAACTTAAAACACCATTGGAATATAACTTTATTAAATTGTTGATATGCAGATTGTGATCAAAATTGTGATGCCTAAAAGAGTTAATGAACTTGGTGCTCTCCCCAGGCTTTTTTCTTAGGTGGGTGCAAAATTCTCATTTTCACAATTCAGACAAAAATTGGTCGTAATATGCCAATTTTTATGAATTTTCTCATTTTCAAGTAGGTGCAAATGGATTTTCAAGTGGGTGCAAGCCTATTTTCAAAATCTCAAGTGGAAGGTGCACCCACTTGCTTTAATACTGGGGAGATCACTGGAACTTGCAAAGATTTTTAAAATGTAAATTGTGTCAAGTGGCATTTTTTCTGAAAACTCAAAAATCCTGGAAATTTGGATAAAGGTAGACAGGTGCAAATCAAGGTTGTTTTAATAAAAAATTACTCACAAAATACAGATATGTCATCAAAAAGAAGAAAATGATTGTCTTTGCTTAAAAATGCAGATCTCCTAAAATCTCATGAATACTAGACTTCAGCGAGATTTCAAAGCTATTTACCAAACCTTCTACTGCCACGAGTGCTTGGCCTTGTCCACTATACAAGTTAAGTTATATTAACGAACACACTCAGGCTTTCCATCACTGAGCCATGTTGTATGAACAACAAGATCCTTTAAGAATAGGAATACACCATATACTTAGCAGCAAGTTAGCCATTTTACAAGGATGAAATGCTACCATGGTTACTAACACTACCTTGGTGATGTTACCCTGGTTACTCAATACAATCAGAAGAATTGTTATCAACCAAGGAACAAGGAAAACCTCTAAATACAAAATTTCATACTCTAGTTAGATCAATCAACTACTTTATATTATATACTGTTAGTGTACAAAATGCTACATTAAACCAAGACAAAGACAGAAATCAAACAAGAACAAGTTACATTTAAAACTATACTATTAAAAAATGTTGAACATACCAACTGCAGTTTTTTCTATTTTATCACTTTTCTTTTTTCGCCTCCATTTCCATGGTTTAAATAAATTCCTTAAATTGTATAATTTTCCTTTGTGTTCTTTCTGTTGCCCAGATGCCTTCATATTATCAATAGAACTGGACCTAGTAGCGCCATTCTGTTTCTCTTTTTCTGAAAATACAAATTTTACATATTTCACAAGAATCAATATAAATCAAAAGCATTAAATCAAATGCTATCAATGATCTCCAGGTTGTACATTGTGCCATTAACTAGCGCAGTTGGAGCATCAAATCCCATCAAAACTTCATCTTCTTTTATCTCAGCTTTTCATAATGAAAAATGAAAAAACTGATTTGTAATAATGTAATATAATACAATATGTATGGCTCTCCCGTTTGTTTCAAATTAGATTGTATTAACTGATCATTAAAACTTAGTGCCTCTGCATGAAGGATGCTTGACCAATCATACCTAGCAACATTCAGAAGATAATACTCTCAGATTTACTTTTATTTATTATCTTTTTATTTATTTCCGAATTACTTTCTGACAATTCCTTAAATGTTCAACAAATGGTTGAGAGACGTTAATTCAAAATTGTCAAATATTCAGTTGTTTGGTACATACTGAATCACATACTACTTGTAATTAACATACATATACATATTCTGTGATGTGGCATTCATTTATACTGTAACATCTGCCATTAGGTTAATTCCAGTTAAAATGCATTCAACCTACTCAATTCAACATTTTCTAAAGCAATGCATTTATTCTATCAAAATATAACATAATACAACACTGATAAGTAGAGAAGCAAGGTGATTATATAGAATATGTGTAAAAAGTATGAAATATACATTCATGACAGAAAAACATTGTTGCCTCTTACTACCCATCCACCAAGCTGACGACAATATCGCACCTTTTTTAGGTACAATGAATATGAAATGCATTCATGACAGAAAAAAATTTTTGCATCTAATTAATTTGTTTTGAGTTTAAGTACTCTGCCAAATTCAGTTCATGTGGATCACATAATGAGATGTACTTACTTAGCAACTTCATGTGTAAGATGAAAGAACCACAACAGTTTCCATGACAACAAAACACTATAATCATATACAATAGCAACATGCCAGGGATCTCACATACACATGATACAGAACAACTATACATTTAGATGAAAAATGTACTTTTACAGAACAACAATAAAAAATGATACTGATACACAGAATGCATGCACTAATACAGGATTTAAGCATGGCTCCATGTGTTCTAGATAATGCAAATGCAGTAGTTTCTTGGAAGCGGCCTTTATTTTAGTCAATTGATAATCTATATTTACTTACACAAAGGATTATATTCCCATTTTAGAAATCTAACACAAATGTGAAATTTCTATTTTTTGGCAAATTCACATAAAATTTTCATTAATTGATATGTTCAGTAAATGGAGGTCTCCTCTATCCATATAGCATAAGACAACCAAAAACAACTCAAATGTGAGACTCGAAAAGGTGGGACTGAGAAAGTTATATTTGAAACTTTTCCAACAACTAATGACTACATGTACTCATTACTGTTCCAGAGTTCCCAATCTCAGAAGTGATGCCAAAACTCCTCAATTAAAATACATTTAAAATGAACCATAAATTTGGACAATTAAACATGAGTGTAGATACAGGACTCTGTTTATTCATTATTCCAGAAATATTTATATCAGAATGAATGCCAATAAAGATAGAGGTCGGGTCAAATGAGGCATTACTCAATGTGGATTTTCCAAAGGTCAGGATGGTTTAGGCAAATATTGATTGATTTATGTAACAAATTCCTCAGCATTTTTCTACTCAGGTATTCTTCCAATAAAGTCATAATCGTGTATTTTGGCCAAAATTGGTCAACAATGCTTAATTATAACCAACAGTTATAAGTGCAATCCCCTTTTGAAAATGTCAAGTGAATGCAGTGCCCACTTACTGGTGAGACCAAGTGCCTTTGCATTTTACCAATTTTCCTGATTAATATGGTGTGACAATATTGGATTGAAAGTTCCTATATATAATTAGACTCCAGATTGAAAATCTGGAGTCTATTGTTTTTGCCTGTTTTCTTATTAGACTCCAGATTGAAAATCTGGAGTCTATTGTTTTTGCCTGTTTTCTTATTATTATTATTCTTTTTTCTTCCTCCTTACCAAATTTCTCGTCAACTATAACAGCTTACTTAATCCAACTTACATGGTTAACTTAAGACTGTATCCGGCTTTCTGGGAAATTAGGTCAAATTTTCATCTAGGTCAAAGGTCAAGAACTAGGTCAAATCCAGTACTTTGTCACTTTTTCCCATTTTCTCGGTCGTCCTTCAATATTTTTGATCCTGGTTTTTTTCATTGTGTTCCTCATAAAAAAGTAGAAAACCTAGGGTCGATTTAGTTTTTTGGTATCTCAAACCGATTTCGAGATATCAGTGTCCGAAAACTAGGTCCAAAAAATATTTCTCCGAATCCAATGTCCAGGATATCAGTCTTATAGGAAATTTTCTCAGGATTCCGAATCTGAAAACAAAATTTCGATCTGACTTCCGGTTCAGAAGTTATGGCGTTTTGAAAATTCAAAAATCGCTAAATTTGGTGCCCCATGTTAATTCAATGGGAAAAAATATTTTTTTGAAGTGTAAAATACGAGATATAGACTTAGCACAGCTAAACATAATGGAAGCCCATAAAAGAAAGGGACCACAAGACCTTGTTTTCATAAAAATTTGGACACCAAAATGCCTAGGTCAAAATCTAGGTCAAATTCAAAGTTTTTTTTTATTTTTGCGATTCTGACACTACATATTAATTATATTCTTCGAAATTTTGTATACATGTAGCCAAGAGTGTGCTAATAGTGTTAGCCTTTTGCCGTCAGAAAGTATTTTGACCCACTTTTGAGATATGGTGTCCGAAAAGTAGGTCAAACTAAAAAGTTCTCCAAATTTAACGTATGAGTTATGAATTAAGAGTAGATTTTTCTCAGGAATCCAAATCTGCAAACCAAATTTCAATCCGACTGCCGGTTCGGAAGTTATGTCGTTTTGAAAGCTCAAAAATCGCTAAATTTGGTGCCCCATGTTATGGCAATGGGAAAAAAGATTTCTTTGAAGTGTAAAATACGAGATAAAGACTGAGTACAGCTTCACATAATGAAAGCCTATAAAAGAAAGGGACCTCAAAAGCTAGCTAGCTTCACAATTTGGTCACCAAAATGACTGGGTCAAAATCTAGGTCAAATTTATAGTTTTAACTTATTTTTGCGATTCTGACACTACACTTTAATTATTTGCTTCAAAATTTTGTATACAGGTAGCAAAGAGTGTGCTAATAGTGTTAGCCTTTTGCCGTCAGAAAGTATTTTGACCCACTTTTGAGATATAGTGTCCGAAAAGTAGGTCAACATGAAAGTTTCTCCAAATTTAACGTATGAGTTATGAATTAAGGGTAGAATTTTCTCAGGAATCCGAATCTGCAAATCAAATTTCAATCCGACACCTGGTTTGGAAGTAATGGCGTTTTGAAAAATTAAAAAATTGGTATTTTGATATCCCATGTTATGTCAATTATCTTTGTCACTATTCGGCATTATTCCTTTATCTTTTTTTCAGCATGTAGCTTAAAGACAGTCCTTTCATTATTGTAACTGTCTTTTTTGATTACTCTTACCGATTTTGAGGAATGGCGTCCGGAAAGTAGGTCAACATAAAAAGTTCTCAAAATTTAATGTATGAGTTATGACACAAACGTAGAATTTTCTCAGAAATTCGAATCTGCAAACCAAATTTCGACCCAAATTCTGGTTAGATAGTTATAGCTGTTTGAAGTCTCGAAAAGTCGATATTATGATATCCCCATGTTAAGCCAATGTAGACGAAGATAAGCTACTTAAGAGTTGTCTAAATGTCTGTATTCTGGATGACTCAGCTTATTCTGAATGGCTCAGCTTACAGTATTTTGGATGACTCAGCTTAAAAAAAGTTTTAAATCTGGAGTCTTAAATTGAACTTGTTCAATTTACATGTCTAGTTATGTGTACAACATAAGAAACATTTCCAGAAAGCACAATTGAGAAGTTTATTGCTTTCTAACGTGACATGCAAAGCCAGGCCGCAGTCCTTTAAAAACCCTAATTATGACCTCACTCCCTTACAAATACCAAAGATAACTCAAAATGGTATCATAGTCTCATTTCCTCATGTTGAAGTCCTGCTGTACATATATGCAGCTAGCTTTGTGTTAAGATTCTCCCCCATACTTCATCCTTCCACTATCTTTTCTGTTCTCAGCAAATCATGAAGATGGGCAACAGAAGTGCTTAATGCAAGACTACATGAAGTGTTACATATAGTCCCTGATGTCCCCAGCAGTTACTCTAACCAAGAAGCTTGGTTCAGAGAAGACCTGATCATTTATAGATCAGCAAAGTGATTCAGCAAGCAAATCAAGGGTATCAATACCATGTACTTTAAGTATATGTTAACTTTGATGGAAATGCATATAAATATATATGCATGATATGTGCATATCTACATATTATGAGAGAATAAGGCAATTTAAGAGTTTTGAGATATAGATGAAGTTCTTGAAGAAAGTTGCAAAGGAGAAGGAAAGGCAGTTACCGTATACAGAATGCAAATTGCATTTATAAAGTTAAAACAGGTTTTGGCTAAAAACCGAAATCACTTACACTAATACATTTCTGCTTCATTAAATCCCTATTTAGGAACAGTTCAGTTTTATTTGCACTATGAATAGCAGATTATTACAAAACATTACTAAAATCACATCCTTTTTTAATCGGTCCCTACAAAATAACTTATCATCATCTTGTATGAGGTGTGGGGTTCTAACGCTCATGTTTTCCACATAGTTTTGGCATCAGATGCAAATTATTAGTTAAACCCAAAAATCAGTCTTACATTTCTTTTTCTTTTATGGAACTAGGGCTGATCCTTCCTGTATGCTTTTAAATCTTATAAATCTATCTTTCATGTAAACATTTGTCAGATTTGCTGAAACCTTACATTTCTAGTTGTTGAGTCAACTTTAATATATGACCTTACCATAAACAGTTAATGTTTCAGTATGTTAATGCAATATCCCACCAACATCATGCTGGGGCTTT